CTCGAACAGGCCATCGAATCGATCGGATGCATGGCTCGATGATGGATGCCCCCGGGAGGCCGAGCGGAAGGCCGATGGTGGATGCCCAGGAGGCCAGTTAGTAAGCCGGCGGCAGATGCCCAGGAGGGTTCCCCTTACTATTTGAGGGTCCGATGCAATGAGAGATTCACCCGTCGAGGGCACCCACACCAATGAAAGAGAGAAAAAGCCACATGGAACTAAAGGGGAGAAACTGGCTCAAATCGCACGGCTCGGGGCACTTTTTCTTCTGCTTCTCGACAATGAAAGAGTGGAAGACTTGGGGCGAGAGAAGCCCTTCTAGAATTGGGAGATTTTTCTCTCTTTTCTGCCGCATGGTGATCCCTCCGATCTCAGTGAATTTCGGGCGTGACTCATGTGAGCACGACACGGGTTAGGGTTCAATGCGATCAACCTTGATTCAGGAAAAAACCATAGATAAGTTAATTTCAGTTAACGACACTGGGCATAAGGCAGATCTGGAGCCCCCTACTTTTCCAGGATCACCCCCCGGGATCACCCCCAGGATTACCCCTTGCCCTCTCTCCTTTCGCACACTTTCCTATGCATTCATACAATGCCTTGTCGTTGCTTGACGAACACCCCATGGCATTTTCTGGAATTATTTTAAAGCTGCAGAGTGATTTGCTGCACTGGGTCGACTTGTTCCATGAATACAGCAAACTCGGCAACGGAGGGGATGTTTACAATGGGATTGTAAACCAAAAAAAAACAACAAATCCGCTCACAAATCTCCAAGGTCGAGAATTCGGTCAGGGGAAGCAGCTTCTCTACAGGTATATCCAGCTTCTCTATATCCAGCTGCACTATATCTAGCTTCTCTATATCCAGCTGCACTATATCCCTCGAAGTGACTGAAATTCTTCGAAACTTTCCGAAAGTTCCACTCGGTTTCCAGCTCGCATTTCGAAGCGAGGTCAACAGCAAAAAGGCCTCGCTGTCTGCGTCGCCCGTCGTCCTCGCATTTCTCTTCATTTTTTCATTCGCAAACCCCAGAAACGCGGATCCTCGTATTTCTCATCGAGATCGAGTCAACATCGGTCGACTTCTCGCTCGATTGCGTTCAATCTCTCCCAGATGAAGTTCGGGGAGATAGCATTCCATGGAAGAAACATGAACAATGAAGCACAAAAGATAAATTTTCGGACATCGAAGCCGAGAAGATGAGATGAGATTTCCCTGGGGACTCGGGAAACCATCAACTGGGAATTCCTCACTGGTCTCGAGGGAATTCCTCGCCCGTCTCGAGGGAATTCCTCACCCATCCCAGACCTGTCTGCATGAACGGAAGCAGAATGAACTCGTTTCACGGTTCAAATCAATGATAAGAGGCTCGAACGTTCCCTCTCGACTCGATCCCTGCGAGATGCGACATTGCAGGCCGACTTCCAGGCCGACATTCCCGGGCGACATATCGATCTCTTGCAAATATCGTTCCGTATGAATATTGCCTGCAGAATATTGCCCCATGGAATGCCTCTCGGGTAAACAGGGACTCCGTAGAATTCATTTGATACGAATTCCGCAGAGTCTCTATTCCAACGTTCATATGTGTCATATGAAGGCTTTCGTAATGAGAAATACCGGATGCCGTCGACTGATGATCTCGGCGACCGAGTCTCAGAAGAATTTTCCGCCTTAAGCCACGGCTCTGACGACAGTCGCTTCTACTCGCAAGCAAACTCGAGGGTTGTCTAACCAACAGTGCCAAGGTTAGGCAAGGTTTGGCAAGCTTGGGCCAAAGAAAGCACCGTCGTCACAGCAGGAATACCTCTTTCCGAGAGCTCGCCCTCTTGACGATTCAGTGGCCGAGCCTCACGTGCCGTCAGGTCCCTCACGTGCTCTCAGGACCCTAGTCTGGGAGTCCATCTTCACGTTCAATGAAACCTTCCTGTTCGAGAAACTCGTCAGGGGTTGAGTCAGAGACAGACAGACAGACAGATGAAGGACAAAGGGCGTCAAATCCAACGGCGTCAGAAATTATGCAATCAAATAAAGATTTAATCGCGTACGAGTCCCAACCATGCCTGTCACACGACCCCATGACAATTCCTCAATTCGGTTCCATGCCTTCATAAATCATTCGTTGAATTCGAGAGGGATTTTGCCCTTTAGCTGACGGCAGCAACACAAACCTACGAATTCATTCATGAACTCTTGAATTTGAATTCGCCCTGACAATCATTTCGAGATTAATACGAACTCTTTTATTTTTTATATTCTACTTGAAACCAATCCCTGCGTTATCTCTGGTTGCGCAGGAAATCAAGACGTGGCTCAATATTTTAAGTTGTCCCAACCGGGTCATCTCTTTCGCTTAGACGAGACCCAACTTGTTTTTATTCATCCCCAGAATAAGAAAAGGGGAATAAGACAAGTTAGAAGTGATGAATAAGACAAATACTTGGTGGCAAAAGCAATCGGGATCTCATTTAGTGCCACAATATTGGTCTTCGTATTCTTCATAGATGCTTCTGATTAATTTGTTTTCCAGGAACATGCAATGTGAGTCAATTTTGATGATAATTGACAGATATAGCATATTTCCGGTAAACAACTTCATCACGAATCGTTGGAAGAGGAAGAGAAGAGACCAGCCCACCCGACCGGACCAGCAAAGACAAACCGAAGCACTGATGCCTCCAACCCCCTTTCGCACAAGCGGGCCCGACCTGCGCGGCCTTGCAATTCCCTCCCACCAATCACAGAAAGACTTCACCGTTCCAACATGGCGGCTACCAGGAGTGTCAGCATGTGTTATGTGCTCGCTGGCTGCGCTTGCTCATAAGCTTGTACGACTGGATGTGTGACATATTGCATGAGCCAACAGGATCAACGCGGTCATGAAGAATGCCAAGGGAATTTTGTTGCGGGCAAACTTTTTGTCATGCAAATTTCACCAGTGGTGTTCATAAAATTCAAACCGGGACGTCTGGTCACCCTAATCAATATTGAAAACAAAAAGGACTTAACTTTTGGCCAAACATTGAGTGAGCTAGTGCAATATATTCTTGTAAGAAACTTTGCAAAACTAAGCCTCTTCTTCCAATCAGACGCTGTCCGCCACCCACAATTTGAACAGCCGCCACCACCAAAGACATGGAAATTCCCTGTACAGTATAACTAGATTGGACAGGCCAATGGAGAATGCGCCGCAGCCGCTTGCCGATTAGAAGGGGCGGCCGCCATCGCTCATGCCGTTTAGTCGCGCAAATAAACGCGTAGCTTTCGGATTCGTGATGTCACACTCCAATATGAGTTTTGATGCTCACCATTGTAGTGGAGGCTTCATTCAAACCTACAATGAAAAAAAAAAGTGTAATACCTCGTCAGAAGAGAAATCCAAATCCCATTTATTGTTACGCAATAGAAGATGTTTAGGCAGTCGCTGCACACTGAAGACCAGGTAGGCACAGGCCTACCTGGCCTTCACTGACAAAGTTTGGTGTTTTGAAAATCAATCAATTCTACATTTTCCATCTTTGAGGAGTAGAAACCCAGTCTTTATTTTCATTGCACTGACCAATGTGAGTGTGCAATATGTAACGCTAACTTGATGTTCACAAGGCGAAGAATGGATGTTAAAGGGGGGGGGGGTGTACACATGGTGTACATGGTGTTCACAAGACGTACAATACCCATTAGTTTCCCCTGCAGCTGGGCCCAGGGTCTTCTTGATGTGAGATCTTCGCCTGCCCAGTCCATTCTAGTTATACTAACCTTGTCTCTGGCCACCACGGACGACCACCATATTAGAACGGTGAAGCCGTTCCATGATTGGTGGGAGGGAATTGAAAGGCTGCAGCCAGGACCCGCTTGACCTTTCGCCGCTTGCTCGCCTTCCTTCCCTCCTCCGGGGGGTTAGTTCCTTCGCCTGCCGCCAGAGGAGGGCAGGAGCTCTCAGGGATCCACGGCGACCCGGTCGGCCTCTCGCACGGCACCGAGGCCGGCGGGAGTGCCTTCGCGCGGCTCGAGCGGATGCAACTGCTGCGTCGAATCGGTCTGGAATCGGGTCGCGAGAGCACGTTGGCAAGCATACCGGAAATTGCATCTCTATTGGATCTCTATTGCAAGAGTGCACGCGGATTCTTGAGGGAGATAGACACGCGCGATTTCCCGTGAGTGTAGGCATTCTAAGCATTCATCAATGAAAAACTGCGATAAACCAAAAAACAATTATTAGATTTATGTAGCTTCATCATAATGGCCAGAAACTTGATGCCCTGGGCAGTGGCGTATTTGCTCGTGAGCCAAAGGGGGTAAAGTAGCAAAATGGGCAACCAAGGAGGGAGGGGGGGGTTCGAGAGAAGGTTCCCAGAAACGGAAAAAAATCCACCAGAGGGGCGGTCTCTCCTCCTGCTCCCCTCTTAAAATAGGCCTCATTGGTCATCAGGATGAGAGCTTTGATTTAATCCAATTTTCTATAAATATTCATTTCAATCGCCATAGTATGACCCGGATGGGAAATGCTCCAATCGCTCTCCATGAGGACGATACCAGCGCTGCTATGCACAAAAATACGTTGTTGATAGAGCGAGACGTGCTTCTTCCGAGTTCCTTCTTTTGTTTATATTCCTTATTTGTCTGTTTGTGCTGCATTGGGGTCGCTTCTCATTTTCGCTTCTGAGACGTACGCTCCTTTTTCAGCAAACTCGGCAGAGAGGAGTAGAATTTTAAATTAACTTTATGAGGTAGGTAAGAGGATTTGACTGAATGTAATGACGTCATCAGGGACAGATGTCTGCAAAGACGCAAGAATGCTTTCGGAACGGAGAATGCATGCTCCGCTTGGCTTCTTCGCATCCGCCTGCGACTCGTCTCAACAATATCGAGTCGAACGGAGAGCAGTCAAAAAGCGGGTGATGCCACCACGGATGAGAGCGGGGGATCATGGCCGATGCGGCTCGTGCGAGGTGTCGGAACCTAGAACGTAAGGACGTTGCCATGGCAACGCGATGACCATGCCGGAGGTTGCTGGTTCGAACTTCCCTTCCCCCCCGACGCACGCATTCCTCCACTCTCCGCACGGATGCAGCTGTGCGAGGGGCTTTCCGTCTTGCTGTTGGGAGGGATTCTTCGTGGAACGTTTGGCCTCTCGCGAGATTCACGCACTTCATTTCGCATACATTTGTGTTGCAGGTGAGGATGGAGGCTGCCGTGGGGAGGCAGAATGCGGCGGCTGTCGGCTGCGCTGCTAAACCGGCTCCCGATCCTCAGGAATTTCCGCCGCTCTTCGAGCCGAAGGCGACAGGATGCAAGGTTAGAGATTCGGAGTTCATTTTCTCTCAATTTTTTATGATGAGCGCTATCGAGCGTGGCTCCATGAATACGAGGTGCCATGCATGAACGCAATTTGCTCCTTTATTCGTTAAAAAGTCATCAGTACCTCGAGCGGAGCTAAAATATTGATTGCATTCCTCCTAGCGTGATCTCTTGGTCGGAACGGTTCAAATTGATAAATCAGAAGACATCCCATCAATACTCGAAAGCATGAATACATGCATGAATAGCGCGAAAAAGGTTTTCTGGTCCCTCCAGCCGAAGAAAAGGCAAAAGCAGAAGCCGCTGACGAAGAAGGAGCAGGAACTGCAGCAGATAAAGAAGATGCTGAAGCAGGACAAAGACCACGTGTACCGCTGGAATGGGAAGGCCCTGGTGAGGGAGAAGAAAAAATTCACATTCCCGCCTTGGGATCACACCAACATCATCGAGCAGAGGTCACTGCCCACGGACGTGAAAAACATTTACCTCGCCATGGCCAAGGTCCCGGCCGAGGACTGGCCCAAATACCAGTCAGTACTCGAAATATTCGTATCTACTTGATTCTTACAAGCAAAAGGTGCTTTTATAGAAGATTTGGGTCTTTTCAGACGCCTCACAGACGACATGCTAAAAATTAAATTCTCATCGAGTCCCGGCATGCACGTTCCCGCCCTCAACCCCTGCGTCCTGGTGCACACCGGAGAGAAACAGATAATCGACGGGAAGCTCACCGAGGCAAGACAAACGATCACTCGCTTTTAAAAAAAATTTAAAAAATGACCCGGCCCCATCATGCCTCGTCCCATCGCAGGTGATTTACCTGACTCCGAAATGGAAGGCGGAGAAGCTGAAGCGGAGAGCGATGGCAAAGGGAGCCGAGTCGTCCTGCCGGATTTACTCGTCCAGAAAGGAGCTCCTCGACCTTAAGCTGGAGACCAAGTCAACCAAATATCGGTGAGGTTTGCCAGATCCACTTCAGAAAGTACCACAGGTCCATCCACACGTTGTTTTCGATGCTTCCAAGATCGCAACCTAAACAACTCCGGCACGCCATATGAGAGGGAAGTAGTATGAGTATATGAGAGGGAAGGTAGACTTAAGAGGCGTAGTAGGCCTGGCTAGCAGGTACGCTTCACTTCTACACGTCTGTGGCTGTTCCACGAAACTTGGGAAAAAATTATTGATGGAAGTCTCGGATGACCTGCCCACTCAGGGAAGCAAGCCGGCCGGTGAGCCCCGAGACTCAACTCCAGCAGCACCGACAGAGGTGGACGGCGAGGCTGGAACTCGGGAGCCTCACCGCGGAGGAGGAGGAAAGGTACCAGTACTACATGGAGAACATGGTGGACGATGATCTCGTCTCCATGGAGCCTGCATACAAAATCATCAAGGCGGCGAGGAGGAGAATCTCAGAGCGTCTCTTGCAAGGCCCTCGGTGAGTCCCTGGGAGCATGCAGAAATGTTGAGGAAAGTGCCGCTGGAATGTCTTCCTGGTAACTAATCACTGTACTGACTTTAACAATTAGTTCGGTGTCACGATTTATGCCGCATGGAAGTACGCCGCAAACACGCAGCAGAGTTACTGGTCTGCAGCATCACCAAATCGTCCAAGTCCTTGGATTAGGCTATGCATCCTAGATATTTACCGAATAGTGCCAATAAACTGGGAAAGCCAGCTTTTCCTTTAGAAAGAATGCCGAGAAACTCTCCCCTCCGTTCTATCCGGCAGACGGCAGTTCAGCCTGCAGAACATGATCTCGGAGCTCGAAGTGATGTACAAGCTGAGCATGCGGCGAGCCATATTGGAGCACGTGTTGAGGCACCCGAGCCAAAGACGACGGCTTCGGCTGCGACGTCTCCCTCCCACCTACCGGCCGTGCACGCTCAAGGCACCCGTTCCGTGGCACACCACTTTCACCATCGCCAAGGACTTCGCCCGACATCACTCGTTCGTCACCAATCCCATCCTCTCCAGGCTGAGGAATCTCTTCCTCGACGAGTTCGTGCAAAGGCCAAGCCGTCTCAACTAGATCGAAATCGCACCGAAGCATTGCGATGCATGTCATATCGTATCTCACAGGTTCTCCCACGTGCGGATGTTCAGCCGATCCAAGCTGACCGAACGCAAGGACTCGATCCCCATGTCACCAGATGCCTTCGAGGCGCAAGTGAAGCAGCAGTGCGAGGAGGCGCGAACGGTCCTCGTCCAACAGTGAGTCATTTCTCTTCGTCGATGAAGAATTCGTGCAGCTGCGATGTCGGGGATTAAATCGACACGAATATACCTTTTCAATGTGAGTCTCAGGCTTACCCGCAATGATGCTTACCTGCACCGCCAAAAGGATTTCCGATTGGCATGGGATGATGAAGAAAGAGTGAAAAGAGCCATCCGATCAGCTGAAGGAGAGCAAATAGGCGGAAAATCCAGCTTTTCCGGCCTGTCTGGACGGCATTTTCCCACCTATCTGTCGTTTACTCTGCATTTTTATTTTCCTATTGGCAAATGCTATAAACTTCATACCGGCATATCCCCTCAGGATACTTTCCCCCGACAACCATACAAAACTGCATCAACCACAGCGACTTATTGTAGGATTCAAGGTACTCAGACTGAGGTGTACTCTTCACCTGCGAGTTAGAGGCTCAGGGGAAGTCCTGATTGCTCGAAATGTTCAGTTCCAACAAGCCATGCTTTGATGCCACTTGGCTGCTGGCGGATTTGTAATATGATTATAAGGCGAGTTTGCAGTAAATTCTGTTTTCGAATCAGAGCTTGCTGGGATGAAATAGTTATAAATTCAGTGGTTGGCCCATAGTGTCAAATTCACAGCTAATTACACCTCAGTCCGAGTACCGGAGACACTTTAATGAGTCGCTGATGATGATGCAATGATGGGAGAAATTACCCAGAGGGATTGTGCACGCGTGAGGTTCACAGCTTCCTCCAGTAGGAAAATACGAATATATCACGATGGCTGCAGAGCCGGAGAAGAGGAACATTCATGCATATTAATGCAAGAGTACAGTATAATACATCTAGACTCAGTAGGTACTCCAAATAATCGAGTTTTTCAATTTACGAGATCCACATTCGAAGACTTCCTCTGATGCGAGACGTCGATGCACTGATGAAAGCAGGAAGCAACGGGATGCATTAAGAGCGATCGGTATCTCCCTCAGAGATTCAATCTCTTCCCTACGTGGGGAGGGTGCAGTGGCGACGAGATGTAGAGAGAAGAGACGGGAGCATCGTGCTTCGGTGGGCCTATTTCCTTCGTTAGGAGGAAAGGGGAGGTGGCAATTATTCGAATGAGAATCGGCTCTCGATGAGGGCTCGGACTAGGGCTCTGACAGGAAAACTGATTGGTGCTTCCAGAGACTTGGTTCAGTTGAGTGTTCGTTTGGGGGACGAACAATCATTGCATGTATCAAAGTAGAAACCCTTCCTGCGTGCAATCGTTTCGCAAGGTTGTTTGTAATTGTTGGAGAGAGCGAGGAGGAAATATAATGGAAGGAGACCGAGAAAAACAGGCGTCTGCTCTTGAGACTTGTTATACACACGGGAATTGGTTTGGTGTGCATTCGCACGGTACACTGGGCTTTTCAATCTGGGCTCGGTGAACTCGGATGAAGGAGTCTGCCCTCCCTTGGGGAAGGTGAAACGGAGACGCAACGTTGCGTGTGCTTGCTGTATTTTCTTCGCTTCAAGAGCTACTGTGTGATGGCCGAGGCCATGCGGGTTAGCATCGGCCAAAGTTCTTTGATGGATGCTAACTTGATTCACGATTGCACAAGGTATGAATGTCGCCAGAATTTGTGGGCCACATTGCCATGTGCCAAAACATCCGGTAAGAGGTGGTGCGTTGACATGCATATTTGTTAGAGGATGCGATTGATCCTCCGACCTATCTTGTCTGTGATCGTATGCGTCTTCAGCATGCACACGCGAGGTACTCATCCCCTCATTCTCGATGAGAACATTTCATTCTCGCGTGTGCAGAAGACGGTTTAGATTCCAACATGCTCCACTATCCAATTGCTGGCTTAGCTGCCCTTGCCTGACCGATTGCTTCAGTCAAGGAGGAAGGGAACTTGGAGGAGGAAGTGAACCAGATGCTGGAAGGAAATAATCCAATCAGCCAAACAAGCATCATTAATTCACGACCTTGTTACCCGCGCCTAAAAATAAACTCTCGAATGCATGCACCTCGTTTGCAAGAACTTCTAGTACTTGGTCTATCTTCAGAAATCGTGCTTCTTGTTACATTCTGCAATAACAGGGAGACAGCACTTTTTTTCATCGCATGCCAGTCAAGTTGGTGCTTGGTTTCAAATTAACTTCTATCATACCAGGTCGCCTCATTTTTTTCTTGGGGATTGTCCCTCTAAACCTCTCTGACAAGTGGCAGAGGCAAAATAACTTTTAAGAACTCACTAAAGCCCGCAATCAGCAATTTGAAAGACTCATGACGAACGTTACACTTAACGCTTACGTTTAGGCTAACGTTAGACTTACTACGCCTAGCCGTTCCCTTAAAGTGTGAGGCTGTTGGGTCGAACATACAAATATGATTTTCGCGCTTGAAAGGCGTGCAGAAGCAGAATCTCCTTATTTGGGGTCTGACGATGAGAAAAGTGAATTTGTGGGCACTGCGATCGAGTGACCGGTGGGTGGCAATCCTCCTGGAAGAGGGGAGAGGGGGAGGGGGAAGGGGGGAGGTGGGGAGGGAAGAGGCAGTTGCTCCCTGAGGTATGCAAGGTATTCATCGTAAGTCATCCAGGAATTTCCAGTTCATGAATAGAGCGGAATTTGCGCAATTCGGCATTATATGGCGTTCCGGCTTCGTTGCAGGTGGATCCACAGATGTTCTCGAGTTTTTGTCGACATGTACGACTGGTGGAAGCCGTTGGTTCCATTCTCGCCTCACGGTGACACTAAAAGAGCCGACAGCCTCTACAACTGTGCGGCCACTCAGATGGCAGCCCACCTTCGGACTATCATCGTTCATAGCCTCCTGGAGCTTCTCGACTTCTTTCATGTCTACGAGGTACGATCGTGCAGTGCCTAAAGAATGTATCAATTGTAGGTTGTAAGGGTTCCCGAAGAAAAGCTGCTTCAAAAGCCTTCAGAAGCCCTCCCATAGCAGTAATAATTTTTTTTTTTAACTGGCTAGGACACAAAGATAGCATGGATATGGATTGGGTAAGACGTGACATGAAAATTCCATAATTTGCTTCTCGGGGCGTGACCTCCCAGAAAGGAAACGACTTCGAAGGAGACTACGAGGACTTGATATTCCTCGAGAAGCCATCCCTAGTGCTGCGCTTGACGGTCGACGTGGGCCAGGTGGTGCTGGAGCCATCTGCACCTCGCCTCAGGGAGATCCTGGGCAATTGCGTGAACCACATCCTCAAGTCTGGCATCGATCTTCCCCGGGTGGAAGAGGAACTCTTTCCAGGTGAATCGAATCGCATCGAGTGTGTTGGATCGTGTCGAAGCATGATCGCTGATCCGAATGCTTTCATCTCGATCTCAGGAGAGTTCAAGCGTCCGATGAGACTCCGTCATGTGAGCAACAAGGAAGAGGAGATTCAAAACATCCAACGTGACATATTCGCCATTTTGGAGAAGAACATCGTCGGCCCCCAGAAATACGTGAGTGTGTACGACGAGTACAAGGACATCCTGGACGGCAGTGCCAACAAAGAGCTAGACGCGTTCCTCAAAGAATCAAGGGATTTACAGGTCCGGAAAATAATGCGTCTTAATCGTGCATCACATGCATACGAGAAAATAAGGGAAAGTGACTTGAAAGTGACATGCAGGCTTCGCATTTGCAATAGGCTTTCAAAGAGAGGGCAAATCAATACGCGTCGCGCCACCTGGAAGCCGTCACGCATCGCGAAAGAGTCCCAATGCAGTTCTTTCTCTTGGACTGCAAAGAGGCGAACGAGGAAATCGCCACGTCGATCCAGGTCATGGAGAAGAAGCTCGTCTCCTTCCAGATCGGCGTCAACACCCAGATAAACAGCAAGTGAGTCCATTCCCGTCCCAGAGTCTCCCTTCTGCCGCGACGCAGCTCGGGACATTCGGCTTCCCCTGCAAACAGGATCTCGGACCAATTCGAGGAGATGTGGGGGAGGCTGAAGAAGGAGCCTCAGACGACGAGCGAGCTGGTCGGGATGCTTCAGTTCCTCTACAGATGCACGGACCTCACCGTGAAAGACCTGCAGGCGAAGATCTCCGAAGCTGCTGCGCGCATCCTCTTCCTCATGGAGTACACCACGCTCTCTGGTAGGTGCACTGCATGAAAGGAAAATGAAGATGGAAGATGAGGATGAGGGCACGTGTGACCGTATTTTGCAGAGGAGGATTTGGAAAGGAACGCTCAGGTGTTCCGGTGGAAGGAGAAGGCGGAACAGCTCTTCGAAAGCGCTTACGTCAGCCTCATGACGAAGAAGGATGAAACAGAAGCCGGTCTCAAAAACCGGGTCATAGCCTTCGAAGAAAAGTAAACTTTCCCTCTCGTCAAATGTGAAACATGGCAGAAGGAATTAAATTTAATAGCAAAAAAAGCTAAAGTTTCATAGTACGAGGGTCGCTCGGAAAGTAATGCACATTTATTTTCTTTTCTCATTCTGTACTGAAGATAATTACATGAAATTAACAAGTAATATCCATCCGGGCTTTGCGATGAACCACCTATTTTTCGACATAGTCACCATTACAGGTAATGCACTTTTCCAAACGTTTTACCAGGGCATGAATTCCATCCCGATAGAAGCTCTCGCCCAGGTGACGAAGTCACCTTCAAACTGTAATCTTCACGTCCTCATCATTCTGAAAGTGATGTCCCCTGTGGTCGTCATTCATGGGTCCGAAGAGGTTGTAGTCGAACGGCGCCAGGTCCGAAACATCAATTCGCATAGCACCCAAGTGATGATACGCCTTTCGTTCAACCACTTTCTTGATGCTCTCGCCAGTGATGGCAGTGATGGGTCGTCCTGATCGCGCCTTGTCATTAACCCTCGTCTCTCCAGATGTGAAGCGACTCACCCATGGTCAGATAATGCTGCCATCAACGCAGGCGTCACCATAAGAAACTTTCCAATGGCAGTGGATACCAGCAGGCTTTACACCCTCCCAACCGAGGAATTCAATTACTGCTCTCTGTTTTTCACCCACCTGAAGTGTGGCAGCCATTTTGAACGTGTCTCCTGCTTGTGTCTCCCAGCAGATAATTGACAAACTTGTGAATTTTTGGCGGAAAAATTCATCATTTACGCAGAAAATCTTAAATCGGCCCAATCATGCATACATTTCTTTTGAAAAATTATTGTGCATTACTTTCCGAGCGACCCTCGTAATTTCGGAACGACAAGCAAAATCTATTTTCCCTCAAAGAAGCGGTTGAGCTGTCTTTTCAATTCGAACTCGCAACAAAATCTCTCAGCGAAACCCTCATGCAGTCTGTATCGTCATACCAACACAGGCCTTTATAGCGAAAGCCATTAGATCAAATTAATCTTCTTCCCTTTAAGGCATAGAATTTCAGAGATTGTAAGAACAGGAACTTCCCCCCGCTATTCTACCTGTTCTTAATGCTCCAAATCTTCATAGGAAGTCTGAAGAACATTGAAAACCACGAGACGAGTAGAAAAACGTGCATCATACTTTTTTTCCTTGAAATTCTCCCACTTTTTCTCATAGGCTCTTCGGTTACCAGGCGGAAGTGGAAAGCTTCCGCCGCAAGGACCCTCCCGTGCTGAACGTGGACGAAATGAAGAGCAACTGCAGGGTCCTGGACCGGCTGGGAGAACTGCTGGCGTCGTCCAGGGCCGAGCTGGACTCCATCAACGGGGAGGAGGAACTGCTGGGACTGGAACCCACTCCCTCGCCCTTGCTTCATCGGCTCATAGCCCTGAGGGAGCCCTACGACAAGCTCTGGCACACAGCCCTCGAGTTCACCCACAAACACGAGAGATGGTTTCACGGTAAGGATGAGCTGGATTCAGCGTTGCAAACCCTCTTGCACAAATTACTTCCGTCAAAGCAGCAAAAGTGTATGTCATATGAGATTGTTTTGACTTCGTGGCAGAAACCCATGTATATAGACCATGGCGAAGGGACGAGACCAGTTGTGGACATACGATTGTTGAGAGCCTTCAGTTTTAAAGGCAAAGCAGATAAAAAGGCTGCTCTTTCCTTCCAGGAATCAACGTCATCGCTTGACACATCTCTTTCGTCTTTCTGTAGAGCCCAAAGTAGGGTCTAGGTAATTTCTCATCATCTCAGCAGAAGAGCTATTACACGAGGCGAGAGGCCCTCTCCGCGAGCAGGTCTCTTCCAGGATTCAGCCTTCTGATAACGAGAGTAGGATATACGAGAGACGAAAGTCCTATCATATTCATTGCCAGGATCCAATTTAGATGTCTCTGATGGACGGTCCGTCTAGTGGCATCCAGACGTCAACTGTTGCGTGGTTCACTACAACTAGCAACGAGGTTATCCAATTGGTATGCACATGCAGCAAAATGACTCCGACACTTCCCCGTGGAAAATGCTTCTGGTTGACGTATATCCTGGAATGGCATGGAATAGTCGTAGCTCAGTATGAATCGTTCAGAAACGTGAGCTGTGTAGTTCAAGCTAACGTCCGGTCTTGCCCGACATTTTCAGCATTGCAAGCTTTTCCGGATTCTTGGGAGAGGGTAGTACGTATCTGTAGAATCGATGAGGGATGTGGGACGGAAAGGGCAATGGGACGTACTTACGGCCACATCTTTCACTTGACCTGTCAAGGGATGCTATGAAAGACAAAAGAGAAAGAGACAAAGGGACGGAAGACACGACGGAAGATAGAGAAATTAAAAAAGGAAAATGTTTCCAATACAGGTTTTCGATAAAGGCAGTCGTTGAGAATATTGCATATCGGAATATCGCTCATGCTTAGGTCCAGTTTTGTTGAATTCCGAAACGATATGCCGACTGGCAGTCAGAAATGGACAATGGACAAATGGTGGCAAGGACTTCATTTCTGAGTGAATGCTTTGAGTGAGACTGCCTCCTTCTCGAGTTGTCAATCGGCTACCTGTCCGCCATTTCGAGAGGGAAGCCACCCATGAGGCGTATGATTCTATTTCCTCGTCGCATAATTGTAGCCAGAGGAAAATGGGATTCATGCATCCCTTCCTCCATTCCCTTTTCCATTTTCCCTCATCTTCTTGGGAGCTTTATCTAGTCGAAAAATCGCTCCGCTTGAAGCCTTTCCCTCGTTTCTCCTCCCTTACCAGGTTAGTCGAGTAGATTTGGTAGGGCGACATCCCAGCAGAGAGGACAGCCCGAAGGGACTCACGTCACTGGTGTATACCAGCGTATGTAAACGGAGGGATTCGGGTTCATCCCTTTAATAATTATGTCGAAAGCAGGACAGAGCATTGTATCAGGTGGAATGTACCCATCCTTTTCTAAGAAGACTGGAATTGCATCAGAGGAGAAGATAATTTATCTTCATCCCTCTCCCTTCATTCCACGGAAGACATAGAAACCTAAGAGGATCTGAATTAGTAAAGGACGATATTCCTGAGAGTAACGGATCACCTTCGCTTCTTGTCCTTCCTTCGGGATGGAGTACCAGTATAATGGATTTTACTGTCACCACAAGGAAGAAACTCGTGATAATTATAATTTTTCTATTTTGGTTTTTAATTCGCTGAATCTACGAACTCGACCTAGACCTAATATACGACGTCGTATATTATATGATATCAGAAGTATATACTGGGAACTGGAAAGTATAGGTTGACCCACTATTTATGGCCTTCATGGGACGATATTTTTTGTATTATGAGAGATGTCTCCTCTATATCCTCATTCAAAAGCATGAAGGATCGCGAAGGCGATGGTATCACGCGTAAGCAGGTATCTCAGGACCTGTTTGGCACTCCGCTTCGGTTCGGAATTCGCAGGAAAGGGAATACCGAAAGCAACCAGGCGGGAGGTCTGGTCCCCAAAAGGAGCTCATCTAAAGGCGTATCCAGAGGGGACACATATAGCCTACCTCCCTGGGCAACTTGCCTGACAAGCAAAGGGAATCTCTCTCTAAAGATTCCATTCAATCGCGTCTTTGCAACGGGTGAGTCCGCGATAGAAATCTCCAATTGCGCCTCGCGCTGCCAAGTGTGTTCGCGGTCCCAGCCAAATGGGAATGGCTCGAAGGGGCTTGACGTAATGATGTCGTCGAAACTCGGCTCGCGAAAATTAATCGTCATGCTATTCCAACGACTGACATCTCTAAAAAATTACGGAAATTGAGGTGACACGGAGACACTCCTAGATGGCATTGCGATACGATGCAGTTTTATCTTTTCAAGTCGCAGCGTCGTGTCTGGCTCACACAGCTCTAGCCTCTAAATATAATGAAGCTGCCCCTGCTATAACGAGTTCCTTACAGCTTTGAAAAGCTTTCCAGATTTACTTTGTATCTTCATGAATTCGTCTCGTGAGATCTTTATGATTAAGGATACAATGTCCTCGAGGACTATATTCCCCTTAAAAGACAGTCATGTCACTGCAATCTAACCTATGTGATATGCTTTTCTATCGAGCAAGGCACAGGCATGACAAAGAGGTCCAAGGCCATGATATTTCTAACTCTTGCCCTTCAGTAAGTGGCAAGGTTCACTTGGGAGAAGATGCATCTCTATTGCGTGGAGCGAAAGTGCATAAATTGGAGCGCAGAAGAATTAATTTTTTCTTTCAATCGCATTTGGGCAGCAACCGGGGGAGTATCGAACTCATGTTTATCCATTACAGTGAGCGTGCTCAGAAGCAGCTCAGAAGCGAAAAGCATTCAGAAAGACAAACTTTGCAGGAGTGCAATAACAGTAGAGGTAAATATCCGCTCAAACCTTTTCAAGCACTCGAGAGATTCCTGTAGTTTTAAGGCAATCTTCGAGAAAAACTTGGCTAGGATTTTTGAAGACCTTGTACTAATATTTACATTCTGGTATTACACCTGCAGAATTATGAGAAGTGATTCATTACTGAACGATCCAGTGATCATTGGAATCCAGCGATTCAGTGATTGGTGCAAGTGGTCAAGTAACCGGAAACTTTTGAGAGGTTCTGTCATGATGATAACAATTTTTGCCTAAGCTAAGGAAGAACTAGAGGGCCACGCCCTCTTAGAAGAATTTACCTTCTCGTCAATCCCTCGGACTAATAAAACAATAGGATTACGCTCTTCAATTGCTTCTCTGAAAACGTGACGTTTCAAACTTCACGTGATAGCACTTTCTTTTGAATGGATTCATTTCACTCTCGCCTATGTTTGTCGGACCAGGAGCGTTCGTGGGACTGAACGCTGACGACATCCAGCAGGAAGTGGAAGGGATGTGGAGGACGCTGTACAAGCTGAGCAAGACCTTCGCCGACCAGCCCGGGCCTCGCAGGGTTGCCGATCTCGTCAGGACCAAGATCGAGAAGTTCAAGCAGCATATGCCGGTGCTGCACACCATATGCAACCCTGGACTTAGGGAAAGGCATTGGCGACAGGTATGCAATCGTACTGCCAAAAATATATGTCCATAGACGGTTGCGAGAGAAAATCGGAGCCGACAATCTGAAAATATAGATTAGCGATGCTGTCGGAGTGGAAATCCAAGTGGAAGAAGATACAACCCTGGCCATGATGATCGAATCGGGTCTACCGAAAGTTGTGAAGAAGCTAGAGGAGATCTCAGCGGTCGCTTCCAAGGAATACGGACTTGAAAAAGCTCTTTATTCCATGAAGTCGACATGGGCCAACGTCTATTTCGAATTCCTACCTTACAGGTAGAGGCTAAAAGCTCATACGATCATAAAGAATGCCGAACCTTCAATATATTCAATAACTTCATAAATTTTCTCACTTCTCGATCAATTTCCAAACAGAGAGACAGGAGTCTCCATCATAACATCGGTGGACGAAATCCAAGTGTTACTCGACGACCACATCCTGAAGGCACAGACCATGAGAGGTTCCCCGTACATTCGAGCGTTGGAGTCAGAATTCCGACAGTGGGAAGACACTCTTCTCGCCATGCAAGACATTCTCGACGCCTGGCTCAAGGTATGCAGGTTGTGACGAAGGCAAGGCTTAAGAAGATAAATAAATTCTGCAGGGTGCGATGTTCGATTCCTTATTTTCATTTTTTTTCAGTGTCAAGGCACCTGGCTCTACTTGGAGCCAATATTTAGCAGCGAAGACATCCTGCAGCAGATGCCCGTCGAAGGAAGGAAATTCGTTCGTGTCGATAGAACCTGGCGACAGGTGAGTCTCAGCCATCCCTCGTTAGAGCAGATGGGTCATCGTGACCTCTCCAGAACTGTTCTTATTGATTTAGATCGAGCAGAGGTGTTTTGAAAGGTTTGCGGGAGACGAAGTGTTAGGTAATACTGCCGTGATACTTCTAACGCGGTGGAAGTAAAAGTATTCAATATAGCTAATGAGAGTGATTCATATACATTCGCATCACCGCAAACGTATTAATCTTCGAAAGTCATTTAATCATATTCGAACCCGATCCAAGCAAAAAAATGACAGAAAGCATTCCCCCCACAGGTGATGGGATATGCAGTGGAACATCCTTTGGCACTGGAGGCGACCAGTCAGGGAGACCTCTTTAAGAGGCTTCACGAGGCCAATTCGCTCCTCGACGACATTCAGAAGGGGCTCAACGACTACCTGGAAAAGAAACGACTGTTTTTCCCTAGGTACCAGATCCGAGAAAGCTACTTTAAGGGATTATCACAAAGACGGGTGACATACCTGATCAATAGGACTTGAGTTGATTATTTCCAATTGCCTTCTATGAGAATGCGAGGTATTTAGCTGAGTTGAAGTTATTCCCCTATAAGCCCATTGTGCAAATGAACACATTTTATTTTGTTCATGTCATCTGGTGGATGTGCTAGATTTTTCAAGCGAAGTACTTTTGCGGATAGCGAAAGTCTTCGGAACAAAATATAGTGGCAGGGAATGATATAAAACGGGGTATTTAGTCCGCTTTCACTGAGGAATACCAGTTCGCATAGCGGCAAACCTGAGCTGGTTGTGGTCCACATTCTCCATTGTAGCTTCATGGTTTCTCAGTAGATAATCTGCTAAGCGTAACCATCTTATCTGTGCAGCTGGATCTGACTCCGATAGGTGATGTCAACAGCAATAATTTTACATTTGATCGATACTGGATCATCCTTACCCTGTCACTTCACAGATATGAGCAATCTCGGAAAAAGAATTCACTTGCAACACCTTGCAGACCTGCTCCTAATAATAGTCGCATTTCCGTGGCAACAGATTTTTCTTCCTCTCGAACGAGGAACTACTGGAGATCCTTTCCGAGACGAAGGACGCTTCTCGAGTGCAACCCCACTTGAGGAAGTGCTTCGAGGGGATCCATCGACTCCGTTTCACCGAGGAACAGGTGACCAGCGTGGAAACGAATGTCTCTGCTTCTACTTTTTTTTCGCTCAATCCGTGCTCGACTTTTTCATGCAGGTGATCACGGGCATGATCAGCGAGGAGGGAGAGGAGGTGGAGTTCATCCAGGAGGTGGTGCCGTCCAGAGCCAGGGTTAGCGAATTTTCGCACGTGGCTTGTCTCTTTGAGTTTTGCAAAAGTTGTTGAAGGCGAACAAAATGCAATAATAGAAATGCAGAAAGAGAATGAGCTTATTAGAGCTAGGTTTATTGTAGCTGGAAAATGATGACCCAAGAGTCACTGGACACAAATAAGTACTTTTTATCTTCATTCCAATATTCCAGGTTTGAGAATAGCATTTACAGGGTATATGGAAAAAAAAGACCAACGACTTTCAACCTAAATATCTTCCCTCCCAATAGTTATTTTCGCGAAACTTTCACATTGCAAATATGAGTATGTTTCCAACTGATACCTCAAATTTCACCCCAAATTTGTTATGCCGAAGCAATTCTATCAGCAATTATTGAAAATAAGTTAGACATTGAGAATGGACAAGAGCTCCTGTTGGTAGTGGAGTGGAGGACAGACTCGAGCGCCGACCCTCCTGCTTTGCCGCCTCCTAAGAACGGGGCTCGAGTCTGTCCTCCATTCCACTACCAGCAGGAGCTCTTGTCCATTCTCAATGTCTAACTTATTTTCAATAATTGCTGATAGAATTGCTTCGGCATAACAAATTTGGGTGAAATTTGAGGCATCAGTTGGAAACATACTCATATGTCCAATGTGAAAATTCCGCGAAAATAACTGTATTGGGAGGGAAGATATTTATTTAGGTTGAAAGTCGTTGGTCTTTTTTTCCCCATACCCTGTATACTTTAATGATTGGGTCTTGTAAGCTACCTATCGGAAACCATACCATGATACAGTAGCTCGCATATGAAAGGAATAGCAAAAGCTTATGATCTGGGGGAAGCCACCTTTTCCGCCCGAGTAGACTCCTGCGTAAATTGCTCTATCCAAGGCTTCGTCTTTTCACTCTGTGAACAGATCACGATACCTTGAAATACCTGCGCACGACCTCAAGTCCCAGCCTCGATAACTAGCTAGATTTTTGCATTCAGAGAGCTTCTTTACGCCATAGAGAACCGGTCCGGGAGAACTTAGTGAGTTGTGATACAGATGAGGTGGTCGGGAATAATTATTTTCATGATACCTCTTACACGGGCTCTGAATCCCACACAGGCAGAAGCCTCTGTTATCGCAGCTATTTAATGGATCCTAGGCTATAATGCCTTTGATTTTCTACGGGTCCAGCGGAAGTGTCGTCCATCATCGACGCCATTAGATATTTTGGATGGTTAATCGACTGAATTATCTTCCGATCTCTGTGATGAGTTCTGGCATTATGAGAACCTACCCAAGGTCGCGTCGCTGCACCAAATGAGAATCTTGTACACAACGAACTTGTGCTTCTTCTGATATTCTTCATGACACTCTTATTTTCGAATGACGAATGAAAGAATGGTTGGATTTGTACTATTGAGATCCGTCAAACTTATGAGGTGGAACGCTTTGCGACACAGGTCCCTTCGACTCTGATGCCAGTCTTTGCTCCATTATCGGCATGGACATGTGATATAGTTACTTGACCTCTCGCAGGAACCATTACATTTTAGTCATTTGTGACTGTGGGACTCGCTGGGTCAAGGCTTTCCCCCTTCCTTATCAGGTGGCCGGAACAGCTGCAACTCAAGGAAATTTCGACCTCTCAGAAATGCTCCGTTTCGATCGAGGCCCAAATTTTGAAGCAGTTTTTTCTGTGTCAGCCTCTGGGATTTCGCAAAAATCGAAATACGGTGGGTCCCGCTTTATTGGGACACATTGGTTCCAGGTCAATTTTCGCCAATATAGCGGCTGCTCCGATAATGCGAACTCACCTTCCATTACCTTAACGATTTCGTTCCTGAGAAAATGCCCCAATACTGTAAACCGGCTGCCCCCATTAATCGATGGCCCAATAAAGCGGAATCCACTGTAGTTGAGGATAATGAGCTGATATGTTGGCTAATATCGGACAATCCAAGGCAATTTTGATAGTAGCTGGCCTCTTGAAAGTTCTTTTCATGTTGGAACTCAGCACAAAGAGTTCATAGTCTTGGACTAAACAAAAATAATAAATGAGCGCCGAAGCGGTCTGGATAACTCGTTGTCGAGAATCAAAGTTCTTTGATGTGCTAGAACCTTGGTCGCACTCGGAAAAAGCAGCCAATCTATCACTCGTGAACTGGAGGGAAGAAAGGCCTCCTGTCACTTCGAACCCATCGGTCGAGGAATGAGAGGGTTATGATTTCCCTTGAGGGCGTTGAAGACGAGGAGGCAATGAGTCTTCTTCGCTCAGACATCCACATTCTCCCATTCCCCAACGACTGTCCTGATATCCGACTAGTTGAGCTGGAGGAGCGTCTCGAGAGAGCTGAACAAACTAGAGCTGAACTTCAACGAATTGAATCAAACCCGGCACATGCCCGAATGATAGGCCACAACGCGCAAGAAAGCGCCCGGGTTTTTATGTGCAACCTGATCATTGCTACGGCTAGGATGTTTCATGGGCGACGTGACCAGGTTTCCACCTTTTTTTAAAATGAAATATCGCGCTAGGAGGTTGAGCAGCGTGCCGTTCGAGTGCAATTGGATGCTACGCTTTCCATTATCATACGGCAGGTTGATTGTCGTCGGCATTTCATTACCTTTAGCTTAAACTGCCATGGTCATAGAACTTATCTTTTCGTCTATGACAGCGTTTAATGCCGATTTCAGAGCTGGTGTTAACGTCGATCCTTTTCGAGACATGCATTGCCGCATTCCCTCCACGCGGCAACCTCGTATGTCTGCAAATGATGAGACTCAAATGAGAGAGGACTTCAATACGCCACATTTTTCTGCTTTGAGTCATAATCACGGTTCTTGCTAATTTCCCCTTCCCCGTTGGTTTCGGACGGACGAATTGGAATGCCTTTGCTGATACTTTTTGCACCGATAAACATATACCCTTTGTAACGTGATCGGCTGGGTGCACGTCGTTGTTTCACGCTTTGTGTCCTCCATGTTTGTGTTCTCTCTGTGGCAGTGGCCATCTATACATTCTTAATTTGATAGGCAACGTTGTTGTTGGAGCAATTAAAAAATAGACCTTTTGTGGCTTTCAAAAAATCCACAAAAGGTCTGTTGCTAATATTGCTAATCGTGTTCAATGGTCAACTGGCTCAAACTTCGTTTCAAACCCTCGACGAGTGGGAACGATTTCGAACGGCGACGAGCTATTCACTTTTTATTTACTGTAAATGGCGAATAAAACATTCAGGGGCTGGTGGAGAAATGGCTCGTGGAGGTAGAGGGCCTGATGATAAGCAGCCTGAGGAGTGTGACCCAGAGGGCAGTGGCCGCCTATGCCCACACGGACAGGGCCAAGTGGGTTCTGGAGTGGCCGGGGCAGGTCATCCTCTGCGCCTCCAACATCCACTGGACAGCGCAGACCACCGAGGCACTCGGCGACAGAGACGCTCTGAAGGTTCGCCACTTCCCTGCCTTCACGACGATAATTAAAAACTGCTTTCTGAATTACACTGCCTTATTCTTGATTGTATTTATATGATATAGGAGCACCTGAGGCGTTGCACGCGTCAAATTGAAGACATCGTGCGTCTAGTGAAGGACAAGGGATTATCAGCAGGAGCTAGAACAACTCTCGAAGCTCTCCTTGTCATCGACGCTCATGGCATGTCCTTCAATTTGTATCCCCACAAATATTTCAACGAAGTTAATGGTTAGGAAGGAAGAAAGACATAAAATAACGAAAAATGGTGTAGTATTAAGACTTGATGTAGTATGATTTCTTGATGTCCTTCAATGAGAAATCACTCGTACTTATCACATTCAAACTTGGGAAGCGGATCTACGTCTTTCTATGGAATGATTAGCATTGAATGATGTCCAATTGCTCTTCGTAATCTCGTTGTATTGTTGCTCCAATTGCTCATTGAATCGGGGGCAGCGCGGGATGTGGTGGGGAGATTGGTGGAACTCGGGGTCCGAGGGCCGTCAGATTTCGATTGGCTGGCTCAATTGAGATATTACTGGAACGAATTCGATTCCCTCGTCACTGTGTCCATGATCACCACGGAAATCAGGTACTCCTACGAGTACCTTGGAAATACGGGGCGGCTTGTCATCACTCCCCTCACTGATCGCTGCTATCGGTGAGTGTCCATGCTCGATTCGGTCGGACTTCCTAAGGGAAATATGTGAAAGAGAATACCGTAGGAGAACAGTTATGAGGACCGGTGAGAACGAAGGCTTTCTCGTGTTGTGTGCGTGAACGCGAAGGACGTTAATGGGAGCGTTGCGGCTGCATCTCGGAGGGGCTCCGGAGGGGCCTGCGGGAACGGGCAAAACGGAGACCTGCAAGGATTTGGCGAAGGCGGTTGCCAAGAAATGCGTCGTCTTCAACTGCTCCGAGGGTCTGGATTACAAAGCCATGGGAAAATTTTTCAAGGTAGCACCTTACACTTGTTCTTTCAGAAAAAAAACCAGAGTGATGATGAAATGAATCGATATTCAGACACAGACTTGATCTTTGTGCCTAAAATTTCTGATGTTTTTTGGGAGATTTCATTCCTCTCCTAGTAGCTGTAGCTCCTCCTTAGGTGATTCGTTTAGCTTGAAGTACCATTTCATAAGAAACAATTTCTGCATCGCTGTGAAGGATCCCATATTGCTTTGGCGCTGCCCCTGGAGTATTTTTTCATGAATCATCCATGTTTTGAGCCCACACGAATCTCCCATGCCTTCTTCATATTCTGTTCAAATATGGTCTCTGAAATGTTATTACAAAAAAGTTATGGAAACTAGGAACTGTTTTAAAAATCACCCTGTATTTGCTTTTGTCTTTGTTTATTTGGCAGTTAAGATATATTTCGGATCTGCCCAAAGTAGAGTGCATATACGGCTGAATTTTTTTTTTGCAAGGGATTGGCACAATCCGGAGCATGGGCCTGTTTCGATGAGTTCAACAGGATTGAATTGGAAGTCTTGAGCGTGGTGGCTCAACAGGTGCACTGTCTTCAGACTGCCGTGGCTCAGGGTGCACCCACCCTGCATTTCGAGGGCACCACCCTCCGCTTGGATCCCACTTGCTCCATCTTCATTACCATGAATCCCGGGTAAGAATGCAAGCAATTTCAGGAGACTTAATCATCGGCAATCTTCCAGGCTCGCGCATTCAGACTGCAACAGTGTTAATGGTTTTTTCCCCTGGTTGTTGTTTCTTCTTCCTTGACCGAATGTAGCTACTACTACAGCCACAATTGGTAAGACGAAATACCGACTCGAATGCATCCGTGTCCTCGGTGTCTTCCTTTTCCCCCAATCTCTCACTCTGTCTAGTCGATGTCGTGGTGCCGCCTTCTACTGTCACCCCCCGATCTAAAACACGACCAGGTGAAATAATGCTCACGCTAAACATCCTCTTCCGCCGTCTGCGATTGATGCTTCTCTATTCTCGTAGTTTGTAGGAGACGCTTAATTGAATGGGGATTCAGGTTGATCAGGTTGATTATAGTTGAAGAAGGGACTCAAAGGAATGGTTCCATGTCCAAACATCGACGCCATAACGTCGAAACGACAGAACATCGACGTGACAAAACATTGACAGGACAAAACATCGACAAAATGAAACGTCGCCACGCCAATTTATTTTTCTCGGATTTTTCTTTGAGATGGCTAATGTTACATAACTTTCGAAGTGCCTTGCTGCGATCGTCTATCAATCCAGGATGACGGATGGAAGACAGGTTGAGGATGGCATCGTGGCTTCAGCAAGCCTCTTGGGGCTAATCATTCCTGTATAATGCATATTTGCTCGGTTCCAGTTTGTTTATCAAAGACGGTTGAAATAAAAAAGCAAGCATATGGGGAGATTTCGTAGATCACCGGATATACCTCGTATATGGTACAGCTGGGATTTTGAAATGAAGAGGAAAATGTTAAATATTTTAATGAAAGAACATAATTTTTTAATTTGATTGACACGTACACATTAAGTCAAAAGGAATTCAAACTACGTCAAGAGTGGCGAAATGAAAAGAATAAAGAATTAGAATAAGGCATCAGTTTTTGTCAACGATGAGAACATGGAACACATTGAAAAGAGAAGAGGAGCCTGTCATTGCGCGGTACGCTGCAACAGTATACTGCTCCATTCCGAGTTCATTCAGGCTCTGTTCCTTCTTGAGGCAATCAATAAACTTCCAGGTAGAAGGAAGATTGGCCCCAAGGGACTTGCTGAAGCCACGATGCCATCTTCAACCTGTCTTCCATCTGTCATCCTGGATTGATAGACGATCGCAGCAAGGCCCTTTAAAAGTTATGTAACATTTGCGATCTCCAAAAAAAAAAATCAGAGAAAAATAAATTGGCGTGTCGATGTTTCATTTCTTCGATATTTTGTCACGTCGATGTTTTGTCTGATACCCTAAGGAATGATGCAGCAATAACGCCGGATTCAATGAAAGGAGATGCTAATTGGGGCCAATTGAGTCCTCAGTGTGAAGTAGAATTATGCCAGTCATCCCGGATCAAATTGACAGATACATGGTATTTGGGGAAGGCCCGAAGGTGCCTTTACCAACCAGTACTGGCACACATGGTGCCCCAGATGACGAATCATATTTTTATTCCGTGCGAATCGCCAAGATCGTGTTCATTTCGCACAGCCGTCGACGCAAATGTGATGGACATGTTCTTGAGATCCCAGTCGCTCGATTCCCCAAGTTCTCGTAAATTTTTTTTTTGTGGGAGTGATATCCTTTCTATCTCGACCATCAGGGGGATTCAGGGATAAATTCGCCATTAATTTTTTGCGAGGCCTCAGGGCTCACTGCGAACAAATTGGGGAAATTCTGCTCAAAACTAAAAAAAAAAACTGAAGCTCAAGGAGTCATCACTGTTTGGATTTTGTGCTTGCATCGTTAGATTCCTCGGGTCATCTCATGAAAGGATTTTCGAAGCTGTTCTTATAATTTTAGCTAGATATAATTCAATTGGGGAAAAACGTCATGATTACGGGCCAGAGAACCGAAATCTAAAGCTCGTGATTAAATGCAAGCAGGCTTGACGATAATTTGCTTTCATCTTGATCAATCCTGCGTATGAAGGAAAACAAAGTTTTCAACCAATTCCCTAACATTTTAAGCACAAAGAAGATGCTACGCATCTGTTAGAGGCCAGCTGGAGAGAAAAAAAAATAAAGTTTGGCATTCATTTAAGAACTTTCGCGGAAAGACTCAAGAGAGAGAAGCACTCAGTCGCATTCGAGGGCGACCCTCTCTGGAAACTGTCTCTCCTCCCTCTCCTGACAAAAGTCTCTGCCGTCTTTTCTTCCGCTGGAACGTGGCATGATGGATCTAAAAAAATGAACCGTTCTAAACTTTGACGAACCCCCGTGAAACCCTGCCTGGAAACCCAGATCGCACTTGGTACCCCTTTTCTCACGATTGAAATGAAATCGGCCAGAGCTCGTCCCATCCCACTGCAGTGCAGAAAGACGATGCTCACCCGTTGAAACTGGACGTGACCTATAGGTACGCAGGACGCCAGGAACTGCCGGACAACCTGAAGGTCCTTTTCCGGACGGTGGCTATGATGGTCCCGGACTACGCACTCATTGCCGAGAATTCCCTCTATTCCTACGGATTCGTCAATGCAAGGAGGTGAGAAACCCTTTTATATTGCCGAAGAGCATTCGATGCGCTCTCGCAACTTATTTTCTAATATATATAGACGATCGTGACTGACTAACTGACGCTAATTCTAACCATGTTCTAAAAGGGTTAGAAATCTGAAACTTGGTACACATGTACCTTTTTTCAAAGGGAGATGTTTTCAACTAAGTTGTTTGCATCGGTTAAACTGATGAACATGGAAAGCTGAAACTTTGCATGAATGTGACACCTGAAACAATGAGTTAAATAAAAATGTTACGTCTCGATACATCCCTGGGGGAATTTTTCCGAGGGCGATGCTTTGAAAAAAAAATTGTTGTGGCGAATTGGTCTGAAATGGAAGGGTGAAACTTGGCACACGTTTAAGTAACATGATATTACTGAGCTGAGGGAGTATTCAGCTTTCATGGGGCATTCCGTCCGGACATAGCTTTTGGGTGGGCCGGCTTTTCCAAGTATGTTCTTTCACCAGCGAAAAGGGCAAACATATGATACTGAAACTTTGTGGGTATGTAGTTCACTGAGGATGGATTTCAGTAAGAAAAAATGATACGTTAAAATTGCTCAGGGCACATATTTTGCAAAAGCCGTATTTTCACGAATTTTCTGATCCAGCAAAACAGAGGGCGCATGAAAGTTATAAAAAACTTGAGAAATAAGTACCTGATGGATAGCTGCGTAAAGAAATAATCATATTTTTCTAATATAGACGATTGTGAATGACTGACGCTAATTCAAAAAGGGAAAACGTATGAAACGTAAAAGGCTGAAACTGGGTGGCATGGTGTTCCCTGAGTCTCCATTTCAGAAGAAAAACATTTGTTCGCTAAAACCCATCAGGGCTCTCTTTTATAAGTCCCATTTTCCTGAATTTTTTTTTGGATCCAACGAATCAGAGACAGAAAATTTAAACGTCCCTCAGAAGTACCTGTTTAATGGCTGAGTACAGGAAAAATCCTACTTTTGAAATATATCCCCTTAGCGTAGAATATTAGAGGGGAGTTTTTCAAAATGTATTCTCCACCCTTACCAAAAGGGACACAAGAAAAGATTTAAAGTTAGGCACACATACAATCAAGGAAGTAAATAGTTTGATAAAAATCAAGTCTTTCGACCCCATCTGTCACGTATTTCAATGGGGACGTACTTTAAATACGTGTTTCCCATTTCGAAAAAAATTAAAGTATTACTCAATATCCAAGGTAATGGAGCGCCGAAGGCGCAACCATAGCTAGTATTTCAATGAAGAAACTCATGTTTCTCGTTTACAGCCCCTTATGGCCGGAAAAATTCCTTGAAAGAAATTGTGAACGGTGAAAAAAGATCCTTCTAATGGTTTTGATTTCTTCGGGAAAAAAGAGGATTGAACGTTTAAATTCAAATGCGTGTCGTGAGGAAACGGAACTCGTGTTCCTGTTGCAAAGCATCGGTCCATGAGACACATATTTGCACTTGACGACGTAGGAAAGCTAAAATTGGGCTAATAACGAAGAATGACGTGTGATTCCTTGCAATGCCTTCTCTTTTGCCGACACGATCGAGCGTGCGTGGCTTGAAGGCGACCAAGAGTCCCCGACTTTTTGCAGAAGTTGGGAGTCAGATACCATGAAATTTACGGGAACCTGGGTTTCCCATCTTGAACTCGTACGTCTTCGATCGTTAAGATTTCTCGATGGCTCAGTTTGGCAGGGAAGATCGTGGACGTGTACCGCCTGTGCTCGGAGCAGCTGAGTTCCCAGCACCACTACGACTACGGGATGCGAGCGGTGAAGGCCGTGCTCACGGCTGCTCGCAACCTCAGGCTCAAGTATCCCAACCAGGACGAGGGACAGCTGGTGCTCAGGGCCATCCTCGGGGTCAACAGGCCCAAGTTCCTCGCTCAGGTAAAAGGAAGGCGCATCTACTGTCTAAAGCAGGTACAACAGTAAGAGGGTCATCGTTCCAGAAAAATTGGCAGCAGTAGGGAAGGGCGTGCTGGCTGCCTTGCAGACTGAAAGACGGAAATACTGTATTCCCCCAATTCTCATCATTTGAGAAATGTTCATATGCATCCCATGCATATTTTTCAGACAGTGACGTATTTTCTCTTGGAAAGTCTTTTACCATTGACAGAATCACCCTATTCTACAGATATTCAATTTGGAACAACTTCCCTCCCCCGAATTGCAACTAGTAAAACCCACACCAGGGGTTTGACTAGTTGCAGATGGCATCTGTGAGACCCTCGTCAGCCGTCACGGAAAATGACATTGAGCTTCAAACAGCATTAAGCATTCTAAGTCTTTCAAGAAAGTGACAGTTTTCTCGCTGATTGGACATGGCACTCATCTTTCCAGGTCGATGTTAAAAGCCTGGCATGAGAAAAGATTCATGTGCATGGAAAGACGCATCTCGTGCATATTTTACTTCGGTTGGATGGGCCTTTCATTCACCCTGTCTGCAAATTGATGTGTGGGAATTTTCCCTCGAACCTTTTAGTTTGATCCTCGTAAATTTGACGCAAAGGTTGTTCAACCTCTAGCTTGCATGATAACGAACTGCAATGCAATGCATGCCTCCAGACAGGCAATATTGAGTAAATGTCCTCACCTCTGAAGTACTATTTCAAGTATTCTCAAGTAAATATAGGAACTGAGCACACTTCCGATATGATTTACCGTTAGCCATTGATTTTTCTAATGAACAATGTTTGATGATCTAAAAACAGATTTTTCCGACTCGAGAGGTTTCCCTTCTGTTTTTTTTTCTTTCTTCAATTCTGAATTCCGCCCTTGATGGGGAAAATGGAGACTCGGTCAATGGAGAAAACAGCATAAGTAAAAATCTCTTGTCAGGATATTCCGTTGTTCGATGGGATCATCTCGGACCTGTTCCCCGGAGTGGACCTCCAGCCACCAGACTATTCCGTGCTCACGGAGGCCATCTTCGCGAAGATTCAGGAAAGAGGCCTCCAAGCCACGCCCTGGTTCACCGACAAGATCTTCCAGCTCTACGAGATGATCCTGGTCCGCCACGGACTTATGCTCGTCGGTGAGCCCATGGGTGGGAAGACGTCGGCGTATCAGGTCGGACTCCATCTCGTCTGCATTTCGATCCGAAATGGAAAGGAATGAAAAAGGCTTCCTCTCTCTGCGACGCGTAGATCCTTGCGGCAGCTCTGACGGCGGTTGCCGAAATGCCAGATTCCCCCTTCAAAGAAAGTAAAGTAAACACTCGCGTGATTAATCCCAAGGCATTGGAACTGGGTCAACTCTACGGGTGCTTCGATAAGATCTCGCACGAGTGGTCGGACGGTGAGTGCAGGGGCCTCGAAATACGGATTTCTCAGTCTCAACGTAGAGACGTGCCAATTTGCACGACTATCGACAGGGGTTCTGGCAACGGCCTTTCGCGAGATGGCGATAAGCGGAAGCCCCGACCGCCAATGGCTCGTTCTCGATGGACCCGTGGATGCCTTGTGGATCGAGAACCTCAATACGGTGCTGGACGACAACAGGAAGCTCTGCCTCATGTCGGGGGAGATCATCCAGGTAGTTCGTTCCCTCCGATCTCCTCGGCCTTCCCCGAAGGAGGCATCTCCGGTCGGGCGGCTGCCATGATGGCGTTTTCGGGCTTCGGCAGATGTCTAGGCAGATGAACATCATCTTTGAAGTGGGTGACCTCGAGCATGCATCTCCAGCGACCGTTTCCAGATGTGGCATGATCTACATGGAACCAAGTTTGACTTTTCTGACTGTTATCGCCGATAGTCTAGAAGTTCACTATTTGGGTGCATTGTAAAAACTACACATTAACAAAGCATGTAGAGTCATTTAAATAGGATTCAGGTCGACCGTGCACCGATTTCCCTCTACACTTCAGACAAATTGGGTTGGCGATCCTTAAGAGACTCGTACATGAGCACCCTTCGAGATCAAGTGCCACACGACACTTTGGATGCCCTCAAGGACATGACGGATTGGCTCGTGGATCCCTGCCTCGAATTCGTCTCGTCTCAATCCGCTTTCTCGTTCATTCGCACGGCAGACCTCCACCTCTTTCGGGCAAGCTCTTTGGCAAACTCTCGCCGGCGTTGGCGATGAGCTATGAGAGCCGTTACGGTTTTATGGAATGGGATTTCATCTGATTTGTGGGACGTCTGTTTTTGACAGTCTCTGCTGCGCCTTTTCAACTGTCTCTTCGTGGATCTGAAAGAGACGCAGCCGGAAGTACTTGGAGGACAACAGGGGCAGTCTTGGCTCCAGGGCATGTTCATTTTTGCCATAATTTGGTCCATCGGAGGTGTCCTTACGGGTGGGTACTTTCAGCAGTCGTTTTTAATGGCTGCTAGAATTGCATGCATGAAAAGGGACGTTCGAAACGGTTGCAGGAGACAGCAGGAAGAAGTTTGACGAATTTCTTCGCCAGCTCGTACTTGGCTTGAACTTGGCTCATCCGCGTCCAAAGAGCTTCAAGTTGCAGCGCCAGCAACTCATCCCAGACGGAGGAACGGTCTACGATTACGTGTTCGACCGAAAGGACATGGGTCATTGGATGCCGTGGATGGAAACCATGGACAAGAAAGCCCTTCACATTCCACCGAACGCCAAGGTGCGACTGATTCGTTTGAGATTACCGTTAAAAACACGATTTAACTTTTTTGTTTCTTTATTAGGTGTCGGAGTTGCTGATCCCGACCGTGGAAACGGCGCGTCAGAGTTACTTCCTTAAGTTGCTCCTCAACCAGGGCATACCGTTAGTATTCGTTGGGCCGACAGGGACGGGGAAGTCTGCCATCGTGTCCCATCACTTGATGGGTCTACCCAAGGAGAAGTTCCTTCCCAACGTCATCAATTTCTCGGCCAGAACGACGGCCACGCAAACCCAAGACATTGTCATGTCCAAACTGGATAGGTTCGTGCCTTTCCCCTCCCCTCTTCTTGCAAGTTTTATTCGTGCAAGTCTCGAAGGCGAGGGCGTCGTACCTCAGGCGGAGAAAAGGTGTGTACGGACCCTCAATGGGGAAGAAATGCGTGGTGTTCATCGACGACATGAACCTGCCTCAGAAGGAAGTGTTCGGCTGTCAACCGCCTTTGGAGCTCTTGAGACAATGGCTGGACCATGGCTACTGGTACGATCGGAAAGATACCTCCAAATTGGAGGTCATCGACACTGTGAGTTTTCAACTCATCCTCTTCTAAATGTGCGATAATAACGAAAGTATGAATGCATTACCGAAGTTCTTAGAATCATAAAACGGGCCTCCTACAGTTAGAAAAGAGGGGTTTTTTAGTTACACTTCTTTTTGGCAGATAATGGATAATCCATTGGATTCCTCATCCATTACAAATGCATTACATATGGGCAAACACATACTTTGTAATGGATACGAGCTCACGACTGTTATGAGATTGAATGATGAGAGTGAAGCATGAAGAAGGGAAGAAAGTTTTTTTTTCCGAGGCCCCCGGAGCTGAGATGGAAGAGCTGTCTCATGCCAGACCCTCAAGATTTTCGCTAACAAACCTCGTATCTATATCCATCCAACCATCCATAAACACAAAAGGCTAATCTTTCCGTGTATTCCATTCTGTGTCTGTGATGGATGAACGGATTTTTCAAGATTGAGGTGTCAATCGGAAGCTTATGATCTTGAGGCGATACTTATTGCGTCAAAAGTCCAATAAGTCTTACCATTTTGACGTAATTGAGCCAAATATCAACAATAAGAATAGCATTGCATGCCTTCCTGGGCAAAGTGTTCACAACCAACAATAAGAGTACGAGGTATTGTCGGCTACGTACGTTGTTGCTATGGCGACTGCTATGACAGTGATCTTTTGAGTTTTGTCATGTCACCAGTCCTGTCGCCGGTTTCCCACAGAACTTCGCGTAAGTGTGCAGCATTCCATTACTGCTCTTTATTACAGTTTTGAATTTTGGCGTTGCTCTCAAGATGCCACGAAAAAGGCTGGGAAGTTTAAACCTTTCTGTGGTGCGATCCATACTGTGGAGTCAGCCGCTGAAAGTAACCATTTCATTTCGGTAACATTTCATGCAGAACGGCTTGCATGAAATGTTACTTCACAGGTTTCTTCCAGGGCCAATGAAACCGATGAAGAGAGAGCAGAAAAGCGTGCACAAAATGATTTCAATCGACTTAGTTCACCCCTGCGTGCACGGCCTTTTACATTAGTACCTTATATGAGCCGAGCATTATCTGCTCCGGGCATTTGTTTCGATGAAAATTTCAAGGCATTTTGAGCCCCCCGGTCGGTTTTCGCTCTCCGTCTTCGAGTGGGGTTGCAAGAGAAGATCGGAGGAATTCGATCGCGACGGTGGGGAGGCTCAAATAAACTCCTGACACTCAACTGATGAAATTGCAACTATGTTATGCCTGAGACAAATGTTCCGGGAACGGAGAGCCCCAAAAAACACCAAAAGAGGATAATATAATGACCCAGGAAAAAGTTTAGCTGCGAAAGAAAACTCGAATAGGTTGAACTGGTCTGGAAAAAAAATATTCCGTTTGGCTAAAAGCATCACTTGGTGATTTGTGTTCAAGGCTTGGCAACCTGGATTTCCAAAATAAACTTTTCGAAGAAATTCTGCAGATAACTAAGGATACTTCGGGAAGTATTTGAAGGTCATGGACCTTCCTGGAATAGAGGAAGCAAAATGGGTCAAGTGAAGCGAATAGAGAAAAAGGGAAGTTTCTCACCGTACAGCGCAATGAATAGACACTGAACCTGTACATATGTTTAAAAATGTAAACGGTTAAGATATCTAATACGGGTTATACTTGGACTTATGAGAGTCTTCCAACAAGGGACTTCTTTCCCCGATCCTCGTAGATGGAAAAATCCCCATTTTATGCACATGCATAACATGCTCCTCGCAGAGTCCCAGCCCCGCCTCGAAGAAAATCGCAACGGCGGACAAAATTAATTGAATAAATTCATTTAAACAATTCAGCGCAAAAAGGGGAAGCAGGACTTTCTCGCGCAACCGGGTGATATGCACTTCCTCGATCAGCTGCTGGTGTCGGCGATGGCTCCACCCGGAGGAGGACGGAGCCCGCTGCCGGACCGCCTGGCGAGGCATCTGCACCTTCTCTGCATCGACGCTTTCGACGATGCCACGCTCACGAAGATCTTCGGCTCCGTTGTCGACTGGCACTTCGGCAAGGGATTCGAGATGAGCATCACGCGGTGTTCCAAGGTCTGTTTCTGACCGTTTCTCTGTGAAATATGTTTGTAAGGCTACGTTGTGTGTGTTTTTTTGCCGCACGTTATACGAAGTCACATATGCAAGGAGGCGTTTTTCCACAACTACGGAACGATACCTGTGTCGTCTGATTTATTATTTGTGCAGAATATAGTCCACATTTCCAAATAGCCCAAGAAAGACTTTCTCCATCACCGAAGCGCTACTAGACCCTTGGAGAGAATTCAGTGTTGAACACAAATGAGTCTTGCCTCATGTATCATGCAAGGCACAACTGCGCAAACTTTAACTATAGCATCCAACTGCAGACAATAGCAAATTCCCTACTCGAGGTGTGGATTATGACCCCACACCAAATTTTAAGATATTATCAATTTTCAAAATATTAAAGAATGACATGCACCAGTTGATGCAGCACATTGATTTTATTCCAAGACTGTCCTCGGAAATCTAATCGATTTCGACTCTATGTTGAACTCTCGTTGTCCCCATACTTTTGGAACAATTTTGTTTATACGGATCCTCACGGTCGATCTTTATTTCACCGGGATCGCCAATGTGATTCCATGCTTAGGCACTGGTGCAAGCAACGCTGGAGGTGTACAAGGGAGCAATGGGGAGCTTCCGTCCGACCCCGACAAAAAGCCACTACGTGTTCAACCTGCGAGACTTCAGCCGGGTCGTCCGGGGGGTGCTGCTCATGCCGCCGAGCCATCTCACCGACTCGGGGAAGATGGTGCGGTTGTGGGTCCACGAAGTCACCAGGTCCTTCCACGATCGGCTCATCGAAGAACAGGACAGGTCGGGCGGTTTCGAGGGGGGAAGGGAAAGAAATGCGGAGAAAATGCTTATAGTCACTCTTCCCGATTCGCAGGATGAAATTCATGGAACTGCTTCAAAATTCCTGTCAGAATCACTTCAAGACCAGTCTCGAGAGATGTCTTCCTCATCTGGTCGGTCAGATGGGGACTCTGGAAGAAAAGGGTATTCGAAAGCTCTTCTTCGGGGACTACATCTACCCAGATGCAGAATCAAAGGTCTACGACGAGGTAAGAGCATCGGCCCGTTTTGACTCGGGATGATCAAGCAATTTTCGGAGAACATCAATTAATCACTTTCTCCGCAACGATTTAAATTTAACTTGCTCATTTCGAAAAGTCTTCAAAAAAAATTATCGTGCGAATCCGCTGTACATTAAATCGCATCACATTCATTTGTTAAAAGGTGCTTATAGCTCGTTCTTTGTGCCTGCAGATCACGGACCTGGAACGACTGACGGCAGTGATGGAGAACTATCTGAGCGAGCACAACGTGGTCTCCAAGAACCCCATGTCCCTGGTCATGTTCCAGTTCGCCATAGAGCACGTGAGCAGGATCGCCCGGGTGCTGAGACAGGATTCGGGGCATGCACTCCTCATCGGCATGGGGGGGAGCGGCAGGGCCAGCTGCAGCCGCCTGGCCGTTTTCATGGCCGGTTATGAACTGTGCCAGCTGGAGATGAGCAGGTCCTACGGCCTGGAGCAGTGGCGGGACGACCTCAAGCGGATTCTCATGAAGGCCGGTGGGGAAGGGAAGCCCACGGCGTTCCTCTTTACCGATACGCAGATCAAGGACGAAGCCTTCATCGAGGTAGGGTTGAGCGGATTGAACGAATTCCCTCCTTTCCAGAATATCAGACACGTTCAATTTTAATTTAGCCGAAACTTGCAACACTATTAACAACTAACTGCATTTGGTTGTGGGTCAAATGTATCTGCCACCCTGAACTGTCAGGATGAAAGGGTGAGAAGATTAAACCTTCATCGAAATATAATTAAAAACAGGGCTGTGCCGATGTATCGGCAACCAGCAGTATCGGCTGCAAGTGTAGCACCATCGGACCCATCGACCATTGGTAGGTTTTTAAGCTGCCGATGTCGATGTCCGAAGAAGAACGTGCCGAACGGAGAAAATAAAAATAATCGCGTGACATGGCTTGATAAATCATTAACAACATCAAAAGGAAAAGCGGAGGGCTGTCACGATACATCGATCGATGCATTGATGTCATTATCGAGAGTTGGAGGCATCGATGGCTTTATTACCCATCGCAATGGTCACACCCCCTCCTACCCTTGATTATGTGCAGCGATAGGGATGTTATGAAGAAATAGGAGTGAATGTCCCAGGTTCGGCGTTGCAGTGGTGGCACACCCGACCGGTGATCAGGAAATTACCGGCTTCTATTCCCCGGCCTTTTCCTATTTTTCGCCCTCCCATGCCATCCAACTCATCCCTCTAATGGCTACTGTCATTGAGTTGGAGTGTCGTGAGTAAAGGAACTCGCAAATCGTTAAGAATATGAGTATTGACCAGAAGTTATGATAAGCAATGTGGGTGCTGTGAGTAATTGGGTTTTACGTTGAGCCTTGCAGCGGCCACGTAACAGTGTCATGTGTATTCATCCAAGTCTCCGAACGCATTCCTGGCGGGTCTCCGTAAACCCAAAGCTGAAGGATCAGACATCTGTAAGAAGGGAAGTATGTCGGTATTTTAAATATAGCCATCGTGACAACCTTAAAAAGTAGAGCATGGCCTCCTGAAAGGCCTGTTTGAATAAGTATTACATGTAATGGTTCTTTGCTCTTTATCTACACGTCACGATTGACATCAGTATCTTCGCCGGCTGATGAGTATGAGATGAGATCATAATCGGCCATCGCCCCATCTGCCAATAGAAATAGAAAGTCCTCATTTATTATGATTGCCTCATTCAGCTGCAGCCCCGATAAAGTCGTGAAACTGATCCGAATGGAAGGCATTTATTCATCCAAAAACCTATTTGTAGCTTCAAAATGGTTCCCGTCCTTACATGGTTGCAGACGGAATACAATCCGATGTATCAGCAGGAAATGTATGGGTCATCGTGTACAAAATATGCGTGTAATTTCCTGAAATTTCGAATGGAATCAAGAGCCCGAGTGACAGATATTATCCAAGCGATGCCAGGGTGAGTTCCATGTCTGCCTGTTTTCGTGAGCTGACACACTCGCTCGTTTCACATCCGGAGAAAACAACTTATATGGATTCTTATAAATTATTTCCATTGATACCACTTACACATGTTGTAGATGAGATCCTGCGGATACTACGAAGGATGTTCCGTTTTGCAGCCATGTAAAGCTGGGAACTTCTTTTTCCCAGACAAACGGTTCCACCACAGTTTCATAAAAGTCGAGGTTTTTGTAAAATTCGCATGTGCAAGCAACCCTTGAAACTACTGTCTTCCGATTGTCGCTGTAAATTTCTCCGAGTCTGTTGCAAACTCGGCAGATCACTGAAGAAGCCTAAATCCTATTTTCTACATCTCAGGACATCAACATGCTCCTGAACACCGGAGACATTCCGAATCTGTATCCCCCTGACGAGCGAGCGGAGATCCTGGAGCGGATGCAGACGGCCGCCAGGGAGCAAGGGAGGAAGATCGACCCCTCCCCCCTTTCCCTCTACAACTTCTTCGTGGAACGAGTGAGGAGGAACCTGCACGTGATCCTCGCGATGTCGCCCATCGGAGACGCTTTTCGGTCTCGGCTGCGCATGTTCCCGTCTCTCATCAACTGCTGTACCATCGATTGGTCCGTGTCCCCGTTTTTATTTCCGCGAAAGCGATTTATTATCGGTCTTGCGCAGTTTCGGGATTAATGCCCCTGTTTCAAGATGTCGAACGCAAATGAACGGTGTGATAACTTGAGCATGTCAAGCAAGTGACAAAGATGAATATGGGACAGCGTAAATGTCTGTCATCAAGTCTGCAGTCAGTTTAGACTTTAGAGGGAGGGGGGCGGGGGAGAGGGGACATGAAATGGAGAAATGACCCCAGGGGCGCAACAAAGGGGTCAAGTTCAGGGTTAGAAATGCCCCAAAACACTGGAAATAGGGAAATTAACAAAGAATTTTTTCATGACAGTAACGTTAGCTTCTCCCTACTCTTCATGACAGTATCTTAAGGCACCTTGAGGATTCGTCCATCTACCGTATTTGCGGAATGGGATGCGATCCAGTATACCTTCCTTCTAAGGAACTTCTTCATGAGAAGCAGTCATAGGAAAACGATGATTATGCGTGATTCTTGCAATTGTTTTTTGAAAGGCAAAAGCATGAATTTTTTGCAGTAATTCTAGCCGACAAGGTTGACCGTCTTTCGTATTCTCTCAAGTGACTGGGAAACGTGTAAGAGTGCTGTCCGCAGAGGAATTTCTTTAAAGTCAAAGTCTTTTAATTTGCTCCATATTTCCAGTAATTTCCTGTGAGACGACCTCAGGAACGATTTTTTACTGTCCTTGCTGGATAAATGTATTAATATTAGAATAACGACTGTCAGTCTCAGTCGGCATTCCAAGGGAGAGGGGGGGGGGGGGGGGGGGCGACACGAACAAGGAAGTCCCCCACCCTCCATCCCATTCCCTATAAAACTAGTTGCGCCACTGAATGGTCCAACTCCCCCTCTTACGAAAAACGTAACTAACGGTTGTCGGAAGAACGTCTAAATCACGAAGTATTGGCAGCGTAGAGGAGTAGATGGGGTATTACGTCGAGTTGACCTGGCGACGCCGACGTATTGAAATAACGATGTCGTTCCTTCGATGACCAGGTTCACGGAATGGCCGGATGATGCCCTTGAGAGGGTGGCATCCAAGTTCCTCTCGGACGTGGACCTCCCCGACGATTTCCGAGAGCGATGCATCCGACTCTGCCAGTACTTCCACAGGAGCGTGGGTCACTTGAGCACCCGGTTCTTCGAGACGTACAAGAGGCCGACTTATGCCACCCCCACGTCCTTCCTCGAACTCATCCTCACCTTCAAGAATCTGTTGGCAGTGAAGAGGAACGAAATCCTTCTGTTGAAGAACCGATACGCCACGGGACTCGAGAGACTGGAGTACGCTACTTCCCAGGTAAATTCCAGTCGGGCTCAAATCGAAGGGCAAAAAGCAGTCTATGACCTGCTTCAAGGTATCCGTAGTCGTCGTTAAATAAATATGGGTTATCGTAATATCCCAATATTGATCCAGGTCCATTGAGCCACTCGCGTATGCTCTTTTCGATAGCAATACTGCGAAAAGTAGCAAGCAAACTAGTGTAGCAAGCAAACAAGAGCATGCTATACCTCATGTTGTAGGCAACGAATAACATAAATCAAAGGAAAAAACATGCCCAAACTTTAAAATATCAAGAAAATCCAGAAAAGAATGAAGGGAAGAAAAGTTTAAACATTATCAGCGGTTGAAAGGCGATGCAACTCAAGTCTGTCCATGATGCCAAATATTGATCCAGATGGCCGCTGACACCGCCTGAAAATGCATTTCTTCTTCGAATCAGATTTCGGTGATGAAAGATCGGGAGACCGCCCTGCGACCACAACTCGTGGCGCTATCAGAAGAAACAGAGAGACTCATGATCAAGATCGAGAAGGATACGGTACACGTCGAGAGTCAAAAGGAGGTAAGGGATTTTGAAGAGAAAAAAGTATGGGGCCTTTTCTTCTCCTTGGCGCTAGCTACCCTAAAGAAACACGTATCACTTCGTTTATTGGCTTACACGATGCTGAAATATCGGAGGATATCCGTCGATGTATTGTGCAATTTGGTATCACGGATTCTCTGGGAATATGGTTTCAAGCAATTCACGAAAGATCTTCGAAACCGATAAAAAAAAAAGGAATATGAAGGATCAGACCAAAACGGTTGTTCCAGATTATCAATGCATCTTCAACCTCGTCCTTCACATTTGCCTTAGCTGGGGGCCAAGTCGGGACACCCGAAGGCATTCCTGACGACCTGTAATATTCATGCAACCTCCAAGGATGAAGATTCCAACGAATGAAGATTTCAGAGCTCGTCACAAGCTCTGAAAAAAGTATTTACGGGTGTTTGTGCACATCCTCGAACGTGCAAGATTGTTCGTAAATATGACGTCAAGAAAATTCAGTTCCTTGGATGTTTTATGCTTAGTGAAACAAGCAGGGTGTTAAAGAAGAATGCGTTAAAGAAGAATTAATATGCATAGCCTCTATTAATTTTCGGTTACGGAAAAAATGAACAAATAATCACTTACTCATGTGTGCCAGTTGCATTTTAGCGTCACATGCATGATCTAGAGATTTTCATTTCTGGAAAAAAAAGCGCTATCCAAGGGATGCGTGAAGTTAAGTAAAGCTTATTCATAATAAAATATGACAATTTGCATCGATGATTGGGTAGCGTCCAAGGGCGAAGAAATCTCCTTTAGCAGAAACCGTCACAGCTCTGCATGAGTAAATGCATGTAAATTGTATATATTAGTTCACATTTAGATAATTACGCCCTTTTAAATTCCCCCCCCCCCCCCCATCTACTAACCTACAGTCAACTCTCGATATACTGCCACTGTTGGTCTCTGCCGATTTTGGCGCTATAACGAGAGTGACGCTAAATCGAAACGCCTGGCTTTAAAATTGAGAAAAATTTTCTAATTTATATAAAATATGCACAAATTTTAACTTTAATCCACGCAGAATACACCAACTACACAGTCTGAAAATAATTCTATATTTTCCATCCATGATTAAGTCCAACCATTTTTTATTTTAATTGCTGTAGTATAACTCCTATGCACCATCTGCTCACATTATTGCCCCCAAAGCAGAAAAATTGTTCACAAAGTTTTTCTGACCTTCAACACATACGCCTCCTTCTAACGGCGCACTTACAATTTTTCCTTCATGCTTAAAACCGTACTTCTCCCATCACTGGATAGTGAATAAACGTGAACTGTTGGCTGGAGAATCTGCGTACAATCGGAATGAGACGTTTCCATTCCCCAAAAGAAGAGGCAGGATTAGGCTGGATTCGGCAACCCTACATGCCCCCCTCTAATCCCTGGAGGTCCATTCTAACCCTAAGATATCCCTCACAATCTATCATGAGATCGAAGGGAGCAGCTGGCAGCCTTAAATTTTATACGCGGTGCAATCGTTGCAGCAGGTACAGTATGCTGCTTGGCTCAATATTGAGTAAGACTTATGTAGAATATGACACGTTTGTGCAAGTGAAGGTGTTGGCAGATGGCGGCTAGCGAGGGTGGCGCTATTACGGAGGAGCCCCTATGGTATATAGGGAAGATTCGTTCTCAGGAAGGAGTTGGCGATAAGCGAGAGTGGCGTTATATCGAGGGTTGACTGTACTGTGTTTCATTAGTTACCATTCGCTTCTCCAGGATATATGAATTTTTGAAAACGCATTTTTGACAAATTCCATAACTTTCCTTTTCATATGGAGATTCCTGATTATAGTTAGCAATGCAATAGGAAGGAAAGGGTTCATAGTCACCCTGTCAATGGCAGCTCTGTAGCGGAGGATGCAGCTATACACAAAGCCCGCATTTTCCCCAGATCGTGGCAGCCGACGAAGCAGCAGCGAACGAGGCGGCAGCCGCAGCGCAGGCCATCAAGGACGACTGCGAGAACGAGCTGGCCGAGGCGCTGCCTGCCCTCAACGCGGCCATCTCCGCCCTGAACACCCTTAAGCCCGCCGACATCACCCTGGTGAAGGCGATGAAGAACCCTCCCTCGGGGGTGAAGCTGGTCATGGAGGCCATCTGCGTCATGCTGGATCGGAAGCCGGAGAGGAAGGCGGACCCGACCGTGCTCGGCAAGTACATCGAGGACTATTGGTCCACGTCGCAGAAAGTCCTCGGGGATCTCAAGTTCTTGGACACTCTCAGGTCCTACGACAAGGCCAACATCCTTCCTCATATCATGAAGAAGATTCGGGAGAAGTGAGTCGCTAAAATATTTGTAAAAGTCACTTGAATCAGGAAGGATCACCAAGTGTGTGTGTCAAAATTAAGGAAAAAAAAATTGTGCGCAAAATTGTTTGCAAGAAGCGCGTTCTGTAATGTAAAATACAATTTTTATTTATTTATTGATCAGAAGACTGAGCCTCGTTCTAACTCGCATTTCTTAGATACATCTTGAATCCAGATTTTGACCCGGAAGTGATCAAGGACGTGTCTCGGGCGTGCGTGAATCTGTGCAAGTGGGTGAGAGCCATGGAAGTTTACGACAGGGTGAACAAAATCGTCGCTCCGAAGAAAGAGCGTCTTCAAGGGGCAGAGAGGGAACTGGAAGCCCAGATGGGGAAGCTCAAAGAAAAAAGAGCCCAACTTCATCAAGTATGTCGAAGGGCCATTACACAGTGTTGATGATAAAATGAAACTTAAGCTTAAATTACGGTATATAAGTTGACCGCAAACCATTTCAAGTCGCGTGTTGAACATAACATAACATAACTGTAACATGAGAACAATCGATAACAATTTGGAACGACCTATCAGGGAATACTTGCTCTTGAATGAAGTACCCGATCGTGCGCAGGAGTCGTAAGACCGTCAAAGCAACGTTGCCCCAAAGCCATGAAAACCGGATGGAATTACTATTTTCATTTTAAGTTGCAAATTTAAATGAAAATGCGATTTTTTTCCCGCGAATCCAGGTGACGGATAAGCTGCAGGCCCTGAACGACGAGTTCGCGACGAACATCCGGAGGAAGAAGGAGCTGGAGGACGAGCTCTTCCTCTGCTCCCAGAAGCTGGACAGGGCCGAGAAGCTGATCGAGGGCCTGGGCGGGGAGAAGGAGCGCTGGAGCCGGGCTGCCCACGCCCTGGGGGAGAAATACGATAACATCATGGGGGACGTCCTCATGGCTGCTGCCGTCGTCGCCTATTTGGGTCCTTTCACCGCCGATTTCAGGTTGGATCGTTATCGCAGGATGATGTGCTGCGCGGTATTTGTTCGATGGCCGTGTCGGCGGAAATACAGTCCCATATTGCGTTGATATCTTGTCAAAATGGATAATCAAGTTTCTAATCTCATATTCATCAGTGAGAATAAGAACGCGTTTTTGTCTGACACGTTAGAAAATCTCCATCCTGTACTCGTTAATTTAAAATCGGGAGGGCGACATTGAGGGCTCTAATCCCTTTTTGTTAAAGGGCAAACTGCGAAATGGAGTCCTGTCATATTTGATCGGTGGAAGTTCTTGGGGCCTCCAATACTCGGCTGTATGCTTTTCATAGACGGATAAAATATGAATTATTCTGTTTTTGAACCCACAGACTCGCCGATCCCACTACAGTTTGCCATAGCTCGAATGCAATCGTGCATTGTTCATCTGCGCTGTAGTTCATCGTTGTGACGCAATCATTACAGTGCTCGTGACCTGTTACGTCCATAGGCAATCCTGTCTCGAGGAATGGGTGCGAAGGTGCGAGCAGGTGGGTGTGGCGTGCTCGAATCCCTTCCATTTGAGTTCGACATTGGGGGATGCGGTGAAGACTAGGGCATGGCATCTGGCCGGGCTTCCGGTCGATGCCTTCTCGGTCGACAATGCCATCATCGTGACCCACGCCAGGCGGTGGCCGCTCATGATCGACCCTCAGGGTGAGTCTGGATGGTGATTAGCATCCGTCACGGAGCATATTTCTATGTTGCATTTCTATATAGTGCGAAAATACGCCACGGTGGGGATGAATTTGCGTGCGTTTCGCGTGCCCGTAAAGTTTTTGTGAATGTCAAAAGAGAAAAATCGAAACATCATCGATAGAAGAACTTCGTCATTTCCCCTACTCCGTGTACTTCAAAGGAAAGAGTCCATTCTTATTACGACGTAGAATCGATGCCTCATCATGCAATTTCTCCTCCAGGCCAAGCGAACAAATGGATCCGAAACCTGGAGAAGGACAACGGGCTGTCGGTGATCAAGCTCACGGACCCCAACTATCTGAGGATCCTGGAGAATGCCCTCCAGTTTGGCAGACCCATCCTTCTCGAAAACATCGGCGAGGAGTTGGATCCCATCCTGGAGACCGTCCTCATTCGGCAGACCTTCAAGTCTGCAGGCATTGAATACATCCGGCTCGGGGATCAACTCGTCGGTGAGTCCATGGAGCATGTGAGACACGCTCCCTTGTGTGTGAGAAAATCAATTCCAAGAAGTCGTTCGTTCTCGGGGTAAGTGTGAGAGTGGAAGAATCCAGGCGAAGAGAAGGTTTTTATAGGATCCAGAATGGCTTACTTAGAGGGCAGAAAGATATTCACTTTTTTTTTTCGTTTGTTCATCTGCTTTATTTCTGCATATAGTCTTGGCTTATAGACTTATGCGAGTTACTTATGCAGCTACAAGACATGTACTTTTTGGATTGTTAGATTGGGTTTTATGCGAAGTTCGAAAAGTCTATCACCGTGTGAAATTCAACACCATTAACGATGAGCAATCAGAGACGTAAATTTGGAATATTCCTCTGAAAGGGCATGGAACGGCATTATGTCGCGGGAATAAATGCGTTCCCTGTTTATTCCCCCGAAATCTAATTAACTCTTTCTCTTCTCTCAGCAGAAAACAATTTAATTTGTATGCCCATATATGCAAACGGTGTGCATGGTTATTCGAAACCTTTTCTAAACTCTCTGGCTAACCCTGTATTTGAAACACAAGCCACGCGTCGCACAAGTCAGTCACACCTGTCACTCGCTCTGAAGAATGACCGCCACATGACCGTCAGACATCTGGATCTTGAAAGCGAAAGGGTTAAGGGAGTTGACTCGCTAGGTCAAGCGGGAGGGAGCATGGATTCCTCTGGGTAAATTCATAAGGAATTCAAGGAAACCTAAGCGAGCCGACGTGGAGTCAGAAAGGAGCACATGACCTATATTGGTTCTCGATTTCTCGCCGATCTCCTTGGCTGGAACTCGTGAAATACAAACCATCGAGAGATTACGAGGCACTGCGATGGAGCAGGGTTACTGAAAGAAAGAAGTGGGCCCGGCCGCTCGAGCACGTCCGTTTGGTCACTGAACCGTACGAAAACTATCGGGTCGGTGACGGTGCAGAACCGGGTCGCATCGAATCGATGTTAGCATCTTTCATCCGCGGAGTGGCTAGATTGGCGTTCAGTAGAACACGGTGGTTCGACGGTCACTGGGCCACGATCACGGATATGGCAGATAACCTGTTTGGATGCGGAACATCTGCGTGGAACATGATCCGTATGATGCCCTGTATATCCCCGGGCGCTCATCGTACTCTCACTTTTTGTCCTTGTGGGCGGGGGGGGGGGGGGGGGAGTGGATCCTCAAGCCGCGGGCTAAAATCAACATGAGACTGCTCAACGCACCAATTCATACTATTCATACACACGAGTTTTTAAGGGAGTGCACTGAGGCCACAATCAAAGCTTAACAAAGGAAGCTTCGTTTTCGATTTGAAAACAACTATGGGCTTTCTAAAACTTAAAAAATTTCCAGATGAGGTTTTTTTGCCGTTACTTCCTATCAATGACGTCAGTCCGTCTTCCAAGTGGAATATAATGTACGTTGTAAACATTTTTACAGCGCATGTACAGACACTTTATTATTTAAAAAGTAATAAAAAATGTATCGTACAGGCACTGCATGCGTAATGTGTTCCTAGGCAATAGCTGATGTGCTAAGGTGCTGCTGGAATTCTTTTTTCTTTTTTACAGTGTATCAGCACTATTTCAGTTTTGAGAATTGATACACGAGCAAATACCTTTGATCCCCATGTTCCATAATTCGGACAGATTGCAGTGCTCTGAAATAGGATTCACCTGTAAGTTATAACCCCAAAACATGGGTGGAGAGAGATTTCATCAGGCTTTACAGTGAATTACTCGATATAAGGTTTTTGGGGATAAATGATTTTCTTTTGCTTAGTCGTCAGAAATCATATTGCAGAATGTGAACCCTGGCCTCGTATTCGTCCTTCCCTTCACGTTATGAACAATTTCAGGATCTACCGCTAGTTTTTGCTTTCCACGTCTTAATGGCGAGAATCGATCCCTCTCATGTTGTCATCTCTGACGTCACATTAGTTTCCTGTATAACGGAATTTACGTTCTGCTTGAGCGATGGCCTTCACGGCCGGTGACTCCGATGCTTCCTTCCTCAGTCCCGGTGAGGAATGAAAGCTCGAACCGCTTGCGAAGAAAATGAATGAACTTGGCTTGGTGGTTCCCACGTTAAAGGCGCGTATCTGTTTCGCATTTGACGGGTTTATTGGCTATTTTGAGATGATAAATAGAACGCCAAGGTAACTGAGGAACTTCTCCATCGGGATCGGATTATTTGGTCCACACGTGTCGATAGTTGCAAGCCCTGAGGGCACGGAAGGAGCTTTTAGAGTCTGGGTCATATTCTTGCCTTCAGGGGCTGACATTACTTGCATTTTTTGCAAGTTAATTCAGAGCAGCGAAAAGAAACGAAAATGTGTCAGTGGAAGAACAGTGATTTTAGTCAACTTTATAATCACAGACATATCAGGCACTTTCGAACATCTCTGCAATTCAACCTGACTGAATCGCACAAAAAGAAAACACTTATATGCTCAATATATATGCATCGTGCGCTAAATTACTAAATTACTACCTGAACTACTGCATCGCTTCATTAATGCAGCAATCTCGAAAGTTCATCTTTGGAGCCTCATCACCAATCACACTTGAAATGATACTGAACAAATTTTTTCTGTTTCAGAAGTCGAGTCCAAACTCATTCTTGATCCACGGATAGGTATCAGGGCATTCGAAGCAAGTGTAAAGGTATCTCTCTCCTCTGAGTTCTCGACTCCGAAGCTTGCAGGCCTTGGGGATGTTGCATGCCAGATCCTCAGGAGGCACCGTCTGCTTACACGAGAGCCAAGGAGGGAACTGAGTGATCTGGCCCAGGGGAGTCGGATTTTGCATCCATTGGATCGCCTCCCAGCTGGTCACGATGTAGACGTCGTCCTTTGCCACCAGCTCGTCCAGGAATTTCATGAAGGCTCGAAGGTTCTGGGCTCGCTTGAACCAGATCGTGTGGAAGTAGAGGCCGAAGGGGGACCGGTTCGACCGGTAGTGACGGTTGAAGTTCTCGCGAAGCATCTCCACAATCTCATCTTCCTCATAAGCAGGAGGGCAGGAATCCATCATGGCGCACGAGTATTCGCCCGCCTTCAATTGGTTCATGACCATCTCCCAGACTCCAGGGAAGCTTCTGGAGGGGCAGCGTTGACCGGGCCCCATGCAATTGTGAGGCATTCGATAGTCCAACGTGTAAGGCCACAGAGGGGGATCGGAAGGTGGGGCCGTCATTGATGAATCGTAGACGAAGCCGAACTCCTTCATCATGAGGAATTGTCGGTTCCAGCCGACTCGAAGGAAAGGGACTCGAACTCCTCGAAGATCTTCCATCCTGACTCCTGCGAATCGATTAATGATGTTGGCCATGCCGACCATTTCGTCGAACCAGTCTTCGATGGTCGCATTCATGCCCCACCATCGCTCAGGGGCGCGATGAGTGATGGAATGAACGGCGATTTCGTGGCCTTCATTCCACAGTTTTTGCACCTGCTGATAATTTGTATATTCGTGCGAGAGGTAGAAGGTGGCGTGAATCGGACAGCCGTTAGGATTTTTCCTTTGACCATTGAATAGGGTCTGATAGACCTTGAAATTGTCGTCGTTCACAGAATCGTCGAAGGAGATGACCACCATCTGAGGAACGTGATTGGGGTCCATATTCCCTGGGATAAGCGTCCCATCGCGAGAGCAAAAGCAGTGAGGCAGAGAACAGTTCCTCAGGTCACACACGGAGGCGGCATTGGGGTCATGCTCGGCATCGCACCAGCCCTCGTCGCTCTTGTCGTAGCAATCCGGGATCCCGTCGCAGAAATGCTCTCTCGGGAGACAGGTCCGATCGGCACAGGCCAGCTGATTGTAATCAGGGCATATCGGCTCTTCCGTGTTGAAAAGCGGCCGAGGTGTTGTGGGTTCCACGTGCATGTCGCAGTTGTTAACGTTGGACTTGAAGTCGCAGATCTGTCTCTGGATGTCGAACATGAGCCCCGTGGAGCAGCGGAATTCGAACACTTCTTTGTCGATGCAGAGATAATACCTGGAGCATTCCTTGTGACTCCACATGGCGGGTTTAGGTCGGTCGGGATCCCGGTAGAATTTCCCATCCATCATGCACCTCACGCGTTCACTGCGTCGCAGGGCCCGACGCCCTCGCACCAACAGGCTTTGGGTTTCATTCGCATCCGCCCCGAACGACGGGGTGTTGAGGCACAGGAGACAGAGGAGGGACGCGAGGATGATCTCCATGGCGTCTGAATCGTACTGCGGGAATATGGGACGAGTGCGTTGGTCGTTGAGGGAAGTGAACTAGATCTTCCTTCACGCTTCTCTGCACACTGGGGACACGAATGACCATGTCATTCGCACTTATGGTTATCATGCGGGCTCCGAACCTCAATTACTTTCCCTAAAAGTCACTTCTTCTACCTTCCTCCAGATTGAGAAAGTTCTTCCATTTCGAACCAGAAACCTGGAAGGGAAGAAGTCCTTTCACAATTCCGCGCAATAGTCATGAACGATGAGTCCACTTTCCGACTCGAGTACTTCTCAGCGTAAAGATTCTGTAATTCATCATGGCTATGCGTGACTGCAGTCTCGCCGTAACATATACGTAATAGAAGGCGTATTGTTATGACTGCTACATTTTTATCGCATTCTATTATTAAATAAACCATTTTTTTTGCCAATAGCCAAAAAATGAAATTGTGCTAATCGCAGTAAAAGCCTCACTTCTCTGACTTAAAAAAATAACGCATGGATTTAGAATGAGAATTGGAATCTGGTTCTGTGGTTTCGCCACCAATGAAACTCGTTCTTGTCAGGTGCTATCCCTTCCATTTAGATATATTGTTTACATTATTTCCATTAATACAGTCCGAAATAGAAACTGCTCTTGCATGAACACATTTTTCTTACTCTTTTGAGTGCATGGAAATCTCACAAGTGAAATGGAGAATGCTGTATGGCCCAATTCTCACCTTTCAGGTTTTCCATTAGAACAGACTCATTACTTTGTCGACCTACTCTTAAAAACGGCGATGCAATTGCCATAGACTGGCAACCTGGCGTGGAACCATTTTCTTTACCTCCGTGTAATTCCGAGCGCTTCGAAGGCTTTCGAATGCAGTCTGCCTCATGCATGAACTTAAGTCAGCTCTTGAACCCGATAAACAGACGTCATTTAGTGACATGGTGTGTCAAGACCCGGGGAGACCTGGAAATAGAGGTGAGATTTTTTTGTGCTGGCATGCTGGGACTGTCAAGTGTTCCATCTCGTTCCGACGCAACGTGCGACTGTTGCAAGAAAATACCCAGAGATTTTCAGTGAATTATGTTTGCTTCACGAAAGAGTAAAGAATTAGGTATAACCTCCAAAAAAAGCGCTGCATGTGCTTTTTGCAAAAATTGCAAGCATGACGAGACGACCCAAAAGGAGCTGAAATTTTAGAAGTCCGCACCAAAAATATGATCTCTCTTTTCCCTCCAGCTTTGGGGTAAAGGATAAAAGTCAGTTAGGTCATTAACTCACATTTACCCTTCATATCATTTAAAGAAAGCAGATTCATCTAATGTCTCATGAAAATCTCAACGGAAATATTAAAGCCCGCCGCACACGAGGCAATTTTTGTTGCTCCACCGTCGTGCGACCGTCGCTCCACATGATAATGCTCCTTGTACGGGAGTGTTGCGATGATCACGCGACCATTGCCAGCATCGCCAGCATTTGCTCTCCGCTCAATTTTTCGGCGATAAATTATTGCCGTCGCTCGACTGTTGCTCCGTGTGCGGGGGGTCCTGCGATGTTACTGCGATGTAGACCCGCCAAAATTCTAGCATCGACCGATCACATTGGGATCTAAAATCTCAATATGATAGTTTCCTGAAATTTAGTTCCACATTGCCCATCCCAATTGCTTCCAGATTGCTTCGTGTGCGGGGTCTCATATTAGACGGTCGTGCGATGGTGGTTACCTCTTGAGCGGCGGGCTGAAGGGTAGGCATTGGATGAAGAGAGGGGAAGCAGTGGCGCGTTACTTCTGCCAGTCAGAGTCTAAAGAGAAATGATAAATGCATTGTGCAGAAAATGCCTTCACAGGGTATCTTGGAGGCTCGGTCAGGCCGTTTTGTATTTAGTTGGGAATATGTTGGAATGCGAAAACCTGGTTTCAAGCAGGTTCTCCTTTTCTTGTCATGTCCCTCCCCTCTCCCCGCCCCACTTCTACTTCAAGATTCAGCCTGCGATCCAGTGCGTCTTCAAGTAATTTATTGTGCAGCGAAGGAATCTATAATAGACCTAGCTATAGAAGCAGTAGGAGGCTCGCCTTTCAAGTCCAAGAAAGGGATATACAATGCGTGGGAGAAACGACGGGAGGATGATTCAGATAATGAATGGATCTGGCTCTGTCTATGCCCAGTGGCGATTCATATGGTCTTTCTAGAGAAATTCACCACCTGTGTTTATTATTTACTGTCTGTGCATGGCATAAGCAGTACGTAATTTTTTTTAATCCTGTGAGTGGTTGCCTAAAAAAAAAATGGAATGAGCTCTTTTTTTAGGATATACTGATAGAGAATGCCAGAATATGTGTTTCTGTTCGTTGTCAAGAGAAATTATGCCGCGATTTTCCATACATTCCTCTTATTACGTCATTGCAGTGGACTTGCAATCGTGACAACATCAGGTCCAAGTAAAGCATGAACGTGACTTGAAGAACAAATGATAGATCTTTGAGCAGTATCTCGGTTGTGATTTCTTTTCCTTGAGGGAAAAGGCTCACACACGTGCTATGAAAAATAATTATGGGACGCTCGCATTATATTTGTGCGATTGCAAATCACGGGAAGGCGCTTTCAACTGCTTTGGCACAAATTTGACTAAGAAAAGACAGACAACCTATACTGCGCTAATTAGTAGATTAATGTCACACCTGTGCCAGAGGTTGAACCCTTAAGAATAGGGTTGTGTTTCATGTCAACTTCTTATTTTAAAAATAGTGAAACTGTCATTGAGTAATGGATATCTTTCTACATGTATGGTTGTTATCTCCTTCACGTAAGTGTAACGTTAGCTTCAATGTCCACTGGAATTTGACGCTGGATCAAAAGAGATCAAATCTGAAATTCTGCATAACTTAGGAGTGGGGAATCGTTATTATTATTATAAAAGACAAGGACAAATGCCACAGGCTGCTGAACACACATTTGAGGAAAAGAGATTCAGACCTGACATCCCTAACGGTATTGGCACACCTCCCCTTGTTTTCTGTCGCAGTGTATCCCGTTTTCGTGGACCCGGAGTAAGTAATGGCAACTTCGATGCCACTCAGGCATGAGGCCCTTCATCACTGCATATCGGGTCGCCAGGGTATCTAGTGTGTGCTATTAAGGCGCACGAAACCCCTACATTTCACACAATGGAACCCAGAGTGGCCTATGCTTGAGCCCAAGGGAGAGCAGGTAGTACCCAAAAGCAGTCAGGTGAAGAGTGGAGAATCTATTCTGCCACAAATGTACGTATATGCCTTACCCCCCTATAACGAAAGGGGAAGCGAGAATGCTGTCCCTCATGCCTCCAGACTGTAAGGCTCAATCAATGTAGAATAAACTTAAAGGTGAATGTGCTTATAGCAAGACAACAACTGCATCTCATATATGTAATTAGTATGAAAATGAAAGGGAAAAACATAAATCCCTGACATGAATAGGGGAGTATAACAAATGATTCTTTTATTGAGTACTTTCAAGTTATCTGTAACAGACATCTTTGTACCGACAAGTTTTATGTCTTTTCTTGATTTTCCAGAGTACAACACCGAATTCCGGCTTTACATGACGACGAGGCTGCGAAACCCACATTACCTACCGGAAGTATCGGTAAAGGTGACACTGCTGAACTTCATGTTGACTTCGGTGGGTCTCGAAGACCAACTATTGGGCATCGTGGCTGCCAGGGAAAGACCCCAACTTGAAACTCAGAAACACCAGCTCATCGTGGAAGGGGCAGACAACAAGAAGAAACTGAAGGAGTTGGAAGATCGCATCCTGCAAGTGTTGGCTGCCGAAGGGAACATCCTCGACGATGAAACTGGCATCAAAGTTCTCTCTTCCTCTAAGGTAAAGCAAGACATGAAGACAGCAATATGTATTTGAGTACTCGGCTCGAAGTCTAAGTATTTCAGTGATTTTGCATTGGGGAAATAAGGTAAAATACCCAGTGATGGACTGGTCCCCAGTGATGGGCCACAGCACATAAAAATTCCAAAAGCTAAGCTTCCATAGCACGTCTACCCTTGTTGTGACGCAGGCTAGCAGCATGCAAGCACATACACACTTCAGAGGTGTTCATTCTACAAATGACTATTTTTTGGAATTTTCCTACGCCGTGGCCTATCACTGAGTACTCGACCTTAATATCATAGTGTTTTACCATATGTTTACCTTACATTCCCGGCTCGACCAAGTGGCAACTATTTTCAATTGCCATGTAATTGCAGGTCCATTGCCTGCTTTCGTAATATCCTTTCCATGCATTGCGCTTTCGAAGAAATCCTGTTCTCCTTCTTGACTTCGAAAAAGTCAATAAAAAATTTCGTGACTTTTTCGAAGTCAAGAAATTTGTTCGCTTTTTCGACTTGACTTTTTCTCCTATGTAATTTCAGACATTCAGATTGAAACATGCTGAGCATTTTAACATTTGAAACTGCCTCTGCTAAAATGAAGCGTCCAAAAACTCCGGATTTCAAGTCCTCTCTATTCGCTGTGATTCTAGTTGTTGTCAGAGGACATCAAAGCGAAGGAGCAGGTGATCGCATCGACGGAGGCCCAGATAGATGCCACACGAGACCAATACAAGCCTGTTGCAGCACATTCTTCCAGACTTTTCTTCTGTCTCTCCGAATTGGCCAACATCGATCCCATGTATCAATACTCACTCGCCTGGTTCATCCGGCTTTACGAACACGTGAGAATGATTCCTTTCTTAGGAAGTAGTCATATGAAGCACGGACTGTCACAGAAATCCTTTCAAATACGTATATTTTCACGATGTGCATTCTGTGTATCCGAGGGAAAGAGGACCATCCCATGTACACTACACTCTTACTGTAGTATTATTAATGTCCTTATTAAAAATCAATTTTCTTCAACATTACTGGTGTCTGAATACTTTCGAGAGTATAGCACTAACCTCTCAAAAGTATTCGGACACAGTCAAATATTCCAGTCGAATAATTCGGTGCATCATTTCCCAACGTCTGCTGCATATCCGCGTTGACGTCTTCCGCACTTAAGCCCTTCAGAAAAAAGGTATGGAATCACGGACCGGTGCTCAAATTTATTTGCGTCGACTGACGGCTTTGCACGACCACTCGTGATGATGTTAAAAATGAACCGCTGAGAGTATCGTCATGAAACGGTGTACACATAATCACAAGATGTTAAGCTACAACGTATATATACGACACACCCCTTGCCCATCCCTTTCCTAGTTAGGCCGGGGACTTTTCAACCACCCATCGTACTCTCAAAAGTACTCGGACACCAGTAATGCTGAAGAAACTGGATTTTCAATAAGGAAATTAATCATGTGTGGGCTCACCTTTGGTCTGAGTGACAGCTCCTTACCCATGCTGGTTGCTACTGATATCTCTGGTATTTCCTGCACACTTTTATACCTGTTCCTTCTTTGCATACGTCCGACTCGCATCATTTACTACTTTCGGAGGGGTGTCCGAATACTTTTGAGAGTGTAGTGTACATGGGATGGTCCTCATTCCCTCAGATACACAGAATGCACATCGTGCAAATATCCGTATTTAAATGGATTTCTGTGACAGTCCGTGCTTCATATGACCAGAAGGAGCCAGTAGTGTACTTTAACATACAGTCACTAAATTTCATAAATGGCGAAACACATTGAAGTACTAATTTTAATATGCAAGTGTTGCCACTCTTCCAGCAGTAAAAAATAAATAAAGACACGTATCAAGGAAAAGCTGAAACAAGCTAGACCAGCCCCGTCCCAAACGAGGCCTCTTTTCACTAAACGTAGAGAGCTGGTTACGAACAAAAGCATTATCATATTCCGGCACTAGACCATCATTCAGTTCTCGTTCGGAGTATTTCTTTCGACTAAACATAGGTCAAAAGTTGGCATTGCAGTGTTGAAGGGTGAAAGGTAGTGAGGAGGGAGAAGTTAGAGGAGGATATGAATATGGAGTGCAAATGAAGTCGCCGACAAGAAGAGAAAGGAAATGCGAAATCCTAGTCTAATGTCCATGTTATTAATTACCTATTTGTCGATGACCCGATACATGAGCAAATTCATAATAGCGATGAAAAGTTTGTTCTTGTCAGATTCTAACAAAGAAAAAGAAATATTTCTCGAATATGCTCATATACCGATTTCACCACGGTAAAGGCAATACATGCATCACTCCGTACTTATTATTTCTACGGACAACGCAAATGCGAACACTCAGGCAGAGGATGGTGCTACAATGTGATTCTTCGCTTTTTTCTGGAATGGGGGGTGGGGTTCTAAACAAAGTCAACTCCTGACTTATACCAGATACCTTTTAAACTGCTTTCTGAGACAGTACATTGATGCAGAAATTAACCATTAATCCATGCTCTCATTTACGTCTCATCTCCCCAGTCAATAGCTAACAGTCGGCAATCGGAGAACATAAAGGAAAGGGTGAAGCACCTGAACGACCACTTCACGCACAGCGTCTACCGGAATGTGTGCCGATCTCTGTTCGAGAAAGACAAGCTCCTCTTCTCATTCTCTCTTTGCATCTCCATCCTCCGCGGAGAGGTTCGTCATCCACCCTAAGTGTTCCAGAGAAACTTTCGTGAAGCACTCACGAGACCTATGCAGAGCAATGAGCTTGTATTCTTCATCAGGGGAAGTTGGATGAAGAAGAGTTGCATTTCCTATTGACGGGCGGAGTGACCTTGGACAATCCCCATCCGAATCCAGGCAAGGAGTGGCTGTCAGACAAGTCGTGGGCTGAGATCGTTATGGCAACCAAACTCACTCGTTTGAGCGGTGAGTTGACAACATTTGTTACTGTTATTAATATTTGGAAACTTCACTTCAGTGAGAATCCATTGTGTCACTCTGGAAGAGAACTTGAGAACGAAATCCATCCGATGATAGTGGGGGTTTGTGCTGTTCCATCAGATGTCTTATAATGTTTGGTGGCTTTGCAGACGGCCATTGTCGAGAATCAGAGGAAATTTAATTGAAGTGGTACATGAAATGGACTTAGGTCAAGATTAAAGCAAAACCATTCTCTTTTTGCCTCGTGCCACGAGAAAGTTATTCAAATTATAATTATTTATTCTGGAATTTCTTCTTTCAACGTGCAGTCGCATTTAAATACAAATTTCTATTTAATAGATGCAACAGTTCACCTATCATTAATCGACAAACAGATGACGCTTTCCATAGCCACTTGTGCTGAAATTTTATTGGCCTTTTTGCATCTTTTGTATGTATACATTCGACAACATGATGGGAGAGGAAAGTCTTAATTTGAGGAGGTCCTTATTATGCAGTGTGAAAGGAGCTCAAGCGCTTTTTACTCCGCTCTTTCCCTGTGTCCCATTAATCAAGCCAACAATTTGAGAACATGGGTATATTTCGTGGAAGGAAATTGCCGGGACTGACGAGACGGATACTTGTATTCCTCTAATATTGCAGCACTAAACCCTACTTTTAAATTTTTATTCAAAATTAATACTAATCTACTCCTCTCCCCCATAAAACTTAGCTACCTATTAAGCTCTCATTTAGATTAATTCATTGTCCAGTTGACCATCATCTGCGAATGCCATCTTTCTGCGTCGCTCAGTTTCCGAATGCCTGAGGAGGAAATTTTGGGAAAGCAATTCCCCATTATTTTCTCTCTCTTTTTCTCAACACAGACCTTGTTCCTCATCTAATCCGCAAAGAAGGAACGACGGGGAGATCCTTTCGATACGTTTAGTTTCAGGCAGAAATTGACTGAATTTTGTAACTTTAAAATAATAGGGCAATACTTCGGGGGGTGGACGCAAAGTTTGCAACAGACCATTAAAAATGTTACGCCATGCAGCGACGTTTGAGTGGCAAATACCAAGTGGCAACTTTGAAACATCTTCGATTCAAGTTTGAAACAGTTTATTTAAATGTAAGGGCTGAAAGGAAAAGTGGTCTATCTGCAATAAAAGGTCCGAGAAGTATAGCTGATTTAGTGCACATAGCACATTTTCCCCTTTAGTCGAAGATGGTAGTTCTTGGGGTGCATGTAAGTGAGAAACTTATTTTCAACACAAACCAGTCCTACTCACTTCCAAGAAGACGGTCACTGGAATATTTACTCTTTTCATATGGAGCTGAATAAAAAAATTTTTACAGATAGGCCACCTTTCCTTTCGGTCATTCAATTGTGGGTAAATATCTCGGAATCCTCCTTTCTCTAATTAATCCAAGTGCTAGCAGAACTTCTTCCAGGAATGTGCTGAGTGTAGGCTTTTAGCTGTTTGCAAGAAGGATTCTTCAGACAGTTGCGAACTTGACCCGTACAATGTATTTAATGACATCATGGAGGAATGCGGCTGTCGCGGGAAGGGAGAGGGAGGGAACAATTGAGAACATTGCCTCCTTAGGGTAGCAATAAACAACGCTTTGCCGGATTCCTTGATCTCCTCAGGAGAGTGAATCACCAGGGGTCCAGAAAGGCTAGATGGAAGCGTGATGAGAAAATATGCAAAATTGCCTCATCAAATGCGCAAATTTTGGCAAAGAAAAATGTCATCAGTCCATGGGTGTTCTGGCGTGCATGATGTATTAGTTGCATTCGGAGCCTGTGGAGTTCCTTTCTTCTGGGTGAGCTTAGGTCTACGGGAGTCGTTCGAGCAAGAGCCTGAGAAGTGGAAAGATGTGTACGATGCACCCAACCCTCAAGACCTTCCATTCCCACTGTCGTTAGGGGAGAGCGAGCCAAAAGACCCTGGCCTTTCTCTTCTCGTCATTCTACGATGTCTCCGACCCGACAAGATCGTTCCTGCTGTGCAGGTTTGGACTCTTCTTTTGCTTCCAAGTACTTTTTTTTCCAACTGAGGTAGAGATTTAACTGCAAAGTCGAAGCAAAAGGTGGATGTTCCATACAAGGTTCTTATATTAGAGATGATTGTATGTCTGCAGGACTTCATCGTGAAGCACATGGGATCGACGTATATCGACCCTCCGACCTTTGACTTGGCTGGTTCCTTCGCTGATTCCTCTCCTCGTTCCCCGCTCATCTTCATTCTTTCGCCAGGCGCCGATCCTATGGCTGCCCTTCTCACGTTTGCCGAAGAGCGCAACATCATCGACAGAGTCAAATCTATTTCTCTCGGCCAGGGGCAGGTAAAATCAAGAATTTCACCTTCATTGAGGACTTGTCTGTTGATGCGACCTGTTCATTTTTTCAAGTCATGAGTTTGGTCGACCAAAACGAATGCAAGAAAATTTTCATAAATGTCTGCAAATGAAAAAAAAGGAATGGAGAAAGAAACTGAAAGTAATAGTCAAAATAAGCTTTTCAGTGAGAGGGCTCATTTCATGCATCATCTGCACCCAATTAAGTTTGGTGCGAGATTTTAACCGTTTCACCAATTGTATAATTGTAGCTCCTTCCTCTGAAAAAAAAAAACCTCAGGGTGTTTTTGCAATTTCGTTAATGATTTCGGAAATTGTGAAGTTCGAATCTGAAGGACATAAATTGATTTCTGGGGGAGCAGCAGTGCAAAAGTGACTTGATTGCAGGTGCTTGTGCAAATCATCAAGCAAATTTCAGTTCTATTCTAATTTTATGTTCTACTTAAAATTTTTTATTTTTATTATAGAAGCAGATTAAAGTAGGTGAGAATATGTTTGTACTGGTTAAATTTAGATTTATAATTAATTTAGATGAGATTCTAATCAGATTCCGACAGGAGTTTATGCAAAAAATGATGAACATGCCTCATGGGATTAGAGCATGCTTTTTAGAAGATATTAGCAAAAATGTCAATGTATTTACGAGATTTCGGTTCTCACCAAGCTCGAACTACTTTTTTTTTAATTTATGCATACAAGCGAATAATGTTTGTGAATCCTGCAGGGTCCCATCGCAGGGGAATTGATCGAGGAGGGTGTGGTGGATGGAGGATGGGTTGTCCTCCAGAATTGTCATTTGGCAACGTCGTGGTTACCAACATTGGAACGTCTGTGCGAAGAGGTTGTGAACACTGACAGGACTCATTCGGATTTTCGACTTTGGCTTACTTCCTATCCGTCGGCGCAATTCCCTGTCTCCATTCTACAGAATGGTGAGGAAGAGTGAAAGAGAGAGAGAGGCAGCTACAGTAATATGAGTTTGATACATTGCAACCTTCGTCAAAATTATTGCAGCCTGCCACAAAGTTAAATTTTTAATTACATAACGGCAGAGCAGCAATATTTTAAAGTAGGCCTCTGAGGGTACCTTTTCTCTGATATTAAATTTACATTTCCAAAAGCATATACAAGATGACCAGAAAATTATTCGTAAGTGCACAATTAAAGTGACGCAAACCAATCTAAAGTCTGTCGTGTTTGATAGAAGTGCATCAAAATATTTTCTGAAAAAAAAAACATGGATCCGATCAGAGGCGTTGATCTTGAGAGTTGATATACCCATCACAAATTGAATTCGAAATTTCTGAGTACGTGCTTTACGGGTTATTCGTGAATGGAAGTGACTTCAAATAATGCCACGCATCACCTTCCTATTGCCGGTTCACATAGGTGTGAAGATGACAAATGAAGCCCCGAAGGGTGTGAGGGCGAACTTGTTGCGATCATATATGTCACCTCCAATCAGCGATCCAGAATTCTATAATGCCTGCACCCAGTCGAGATCATGGCAGAGACTTCTCTTTGGACTCTGCTTCTTCCATGCTCTCATCCAGGAACGGAGACACTTTGGACCTCTGGGATGGAACATTCCTTACGAATTCAACGAATCCGACTTGCGGATCTCCGTTGCCCAGCTGCAGGTCAAAGATCTATTATTCTCCTTGACGGACGCAACGAATTCTAACATTGGCTTTTGCGGAGAAAACAATATAGATTCTTTTCATTTTTGTCGCTATACACTCGTATAATATGAGTAAGACAAGCCGGAATATGCATCAGAATTGTATCAATCCTATTAAACTATTTGAAGTATTACTATCTTACTTCAATTACACTCTCGGCGATCTGAAGCAAATACAAATCCACCCTTTCTTTACTACATCATTGCGATCACATCTTCAAATAAATAAATAAAATTATTTCTGCTAGAGGTAAACGAAGTTATTGATCAAAGATGTGCAACCCGCGGCCCGATAATGCATAATGGGATAACAGATAAAATAAGTTTCATCACCAAGGCTCATCACAACTTTGGTCATCCCTCAGTAACTAGACAGAAGATAGACTGAATCCTTTCACTACCTTCTCCTATTTATTCTTCGCGCGGGGGCGCAACACATGTCTTGAGGAATGAAGGTCTCAATGCCAAAGGATAATTTTAAGCGTTGGAATTTCCTAGGGGTGGGACGGGGGTAAGGATCATCGGCCAATCAGCGCGACCTCATGGCCTCATATGCCCCGAGGGCAAAAGAGGGGAGCCTTTTTATTTAACATTTCATGGCCCGCGTGAAGAGTCAGACATTTCCATGCAGCCCACTGCCGATAAAGGTTGCACACCCGTTATTGATGCACCCAATAGTGAATGGAATGTAATCGCATTTGGCCCTGGCATGCCTGTTCTGCAGATGTTCCTCAACGATTCGACCTCGGAGGTACCTTTCAATGCCCTGGTTTATCTGACCGGAGAATGCAATTACGGAGGCCGAGTGACGGACGATAAGGATCGAAGGCTACTTCTTGCTCTCCTTTCTTCTGTCTACTGCCCACAAATCCTGTCGCAAGATCGGTACGACTATTTTGCCTCTCTCACTCCCTGTTGAGAAGAAGTTTCAGGAGACTCAGGTGGAAAGTAGCTACTCAAATAAGAACATTACTCATGATATTTTCAGCGTCGACCGCAGCAATTCATTCCGCATCACACCCATCCGTCAGGCTCTGTTCGGCGAAATCAGAACTAATACTTTCTGGCATTATATAATACATGAACTGAAATGCGGAATTCTTGCGGATTTGGGCACCTTCCGAAGGATTTAGAGTTAAAAGATTGAAATTGATATTGTCAGAATTCCCATGGATCCATTGTGGAGCACCGTAAGGTTCAATCAAAAACCACTTCCTTTGTTTTTCAATCTCACGGAATTCAAGTCTGAATAATTTTTTGATGGTACGTCATATTCTTCATCCCATCTGGGGGAGTAGTATCCCTTGTCAATTTGAAAGAGGAGAAATATAATCAAGGGCAACATGACTTTTCGACTCCTGATAGATTGAGACACAAGATTCCCTTTTAATTTTAAGAAATGACGGTGCTTGTAAAAAGTCTCTCATCCCTTAACTTTATCGGATGAGCCGATGTAGTGATGATTATTTTATTGTATTTACAGTATGTACACAGGACACCCTGATCACTAATGTAATATAAAATCACCCTGACTTTCAATGACTTCAGAAACACGAGTTTTCATACTTTGTACAAGTCTTACTGCCAAGTCCATTGGGAGTGTCAGGCTAATCTCTATCCCTTTTATCTTCAAATGGTTTTCGATGTCGCATCTCATTGCGAACATTTCTCGATCGGCGAGCGAAAGATTCTGCTCATACCGTTTTGGTATCGTTGCGCGCGGTCGACCAGAACGAGTCAAATCGATCACGTCTTTGCATTCCTTCCACCGATCGAGTCAATACTTCACGGTCCTCTTGTCACACTTGACCGCTTTCGCCACAGCCTTCGATCCGAGCTTTGGACCCAACGGATGGCAAGAGAGGAAATTGATCTCATAAAGCTGATGGACGGGTAAAACCATATCTCACAAGTGATTATCGAAGCTAACGCACACGGAATGAACACTGACTGATCAGCACTCGGAGCGCTGCCTTTTTTTAAATCAAGATCAAGAGTCAAGATAGTTAGTGACATCAAGAGGTGATTTCGCCCATTTCGATATCACGTGTCGAGGTCGAGCGTTCCTTAATTTTAGGGTAGGCCTAACCCTCTTAAAGCTAAATATTTTTGTATTTTTGTATTTTTTTTTTACTATCCTAGCTGCTTACTGTCTAGTACCT